ACCCCTGCCATGGAACCTTGGCGAACTAGCATGGCCTTGGCATCTCAAGGGCTGGGCTGCAGCCCAGAGCTGTGTGCGTGACAGGACAGTGCCCTGAGAGCCCTGCAGCCCAAGTCCTGCTCCCCTCTTCCAGTAGCAAAGCCCAAAAGTTTCCCATTGGCCACATCCAGACTGATCTGCCCTGAGGAAGCCTGGAAATGGGAAGGACCAGGGAGGGAGGAAGAGAGATTGGGAGAAAGCTTCCCTTCCTGTGGTGCCTGTTGATAATTGGCTCTCCGGGACTGGCTGGGGACACAAGGGCCAGCTGGGCCAGGAAGTGTACAATGCTGTTCTTTCAGGAGAGCCGCTGCTGGTCCCGTGTGACTCCAGCGAAAGAAAGAGAACAGCTTGTTCTCGGAGGATGTTCTCTAACCTAGACCCCCCTCCAGAGGTGAGACTCAGAGCCCCCAACTTCCACCCTCTGCCCTTGGAGCACCCCCTCCCTCTGTCCTGCTGGCATCAGTCTGCAAAAGAACTAGACCCATTCAGACTCTTCAGAGAGTCTGGGCCACAGGGACAGGGAGGAGAATCTACTGAGTGTTGTCGGGGAGCAGGGAGCATTGGGGCCTGGGGACTTAGGAAGAATGTCCTGTTGTGTCTTAGAAGGCATGGGCCCATATGGATAGGGAAAGTGGGGTCTCAACTCTCTGAATTTGTGCGCACGCACGTGTGCGCGTGTGTGTATGTGTCTGTGTGTGTGTTGTATGTATGTGTATGTACAGGACTATGCATGCAGGTACCTGTGCATGTGTGTGTGTGCCTTTGGAAGCCGAGGTCAACATTAAATGCCTTTCTTTCTCTCAGCCTTATTTTTTCCAGACAGTATTTTTTTTTCAATGTGTACAACTGTTTTGCTTACATGTATGTAAGTACACCATGTGCATGCAGTGCCTGTGCAGACCAGAAGAGAGCATTAAATCCCCTGGAACTGGAGTTAAAGATGGTTGTTAGCCACCATGTAGGAGCTGGGAAGCAAACCCAGGTCCTCCGCATGAACAGCCAGTACTCTTAATTGCTGAGCTATCTCTCCAGACCTGAGACAGGGCCTTCCACTGAACCTGGATTTCATCTCTGGCCATTGAACTCTAGGAATTGCTCATTTCTGCCCTCATTCCCTAAAGCTACGGTTACAAAATAGGCAACAGACCTGGGTGCTCAGGAATCATGCTTACATGACAGGCAGGCATTTTACCGACTAAGCCATCTCCCTCAGCCCCCTGGATTTTAATCTTGCTGAGAGAGAGGCAATAGGTACACTTTATGGTTAGCTGGGATGATGGTGCATGCTTGTGATCCCATGATCCCAGCACTCAGGAGGCTGAGGCAGGAGGACTAAGAGTTCCAGGCTAGGCTGGACTACATAGTGACTTCCAGAGCAATCTGGGTTTAATAATGAGAGGACCCTGTCTCTGAAAAAACAGAGGGACAGGGAAGGAAAGGATAGACAGACAGAGGAGAGACAGAGACAGGGGCGGAAGGAGAAAAGAGAGAAGAGTTGTTGACCCATAGCTCATAGCTTAGCAATTCCAAAAAAATATGGTAAAATGTAATCTTTGAGGGTTTTATCTATCTTTTGGGAGGGAAAACATGTGCACACTGGGGCATGCTTGTTGAGGAATTGGTTCTCTTCTTCTACCATATGAATTCCACAAATCAAACTCAAATCATTGGGATTGGCAGCAAGTGCCTTGACCTGCTGAGCCATCTCGCCAGCCCCCAAATGTAGATTTAGCAGTATAGACAGATATAGACATGTGAGGTAGGCTGGGACAAGAAGGTGTTGTCCTGGGTACAAAGTGTTATGGAAACAGTAGGAAACTGGTCCTCATGGACTGTCTGCCCCAGAAACTTCAAGAGGGTTTGGTGTGACCCTGACCTTGCTTCTTTCATTCTTTCATTGTTTTTTGTTTTGTTTTTTTTCTTTAGTAAATTGGCCAGCATGGTCTTGAACTAACTCTGTTGCCCAAGCAATCTGATTGTTCTGCTTTAACCTCCCTGAGTGGCCGGAATAACAGGCCAGCACCTCCAGACCTGGCCACAGCTTGCTTTAGCGAATCCAGTATAAGTCACCCACATTGGTACTCTAATGCTGAGCAATCTAAGGCTGGAATATTGTGAGTTCAAGGTCATTCTGGGCCACATAGTGAGATTCTGTCTCAAAACCAGGGCCAAGCTGGGTGTGGTGGTTCATGACTTTAATCTCAGCACTCAGGAGATGGAGGCAGGCAGATTTCTCTGAGTTCAAGGCCAGCCTGGTCAACATAGTGAGTTCTAGGCTTAGTCATGGCTATACAGTGAGCCCCTGCCTCAAAAAACTAAAAAACAGAGGATGGCGAGATGGCTCAGCAATTAAGAACACTGGCTGTTCTTGCAGAAGACCCGGGTTCGAATCTCAGCACCCACATGGCAGCTAACAACTGTCCATAACTCCAGTTCCAGGGAATCCAACAGCCTCTTCTGTCCTTCTCGGGCATTGCATGACATAGATGCACTTGCCTACATGCAGGCAATACATGCATACACATAAAATAAAAATAATAAAATATTTTTTAAAAAAAGACAAACAGAAATAAACAGGGCCCAAAAGTCCAAAACGCGGGCTAGGGATGCAGCTCAGGTGACAGAGTGCTTGCCTAGTACACACGAGACCATGGGTTTATCCCTGTTATAGGGTATGGCATCCCTGTGATCCCAACAATCAGGAGGCAGAGGCAGGAAGAGCAGAAGTTCAAGGTCATCATTAGCTACATAGTGATTTTGAGACCATCCCGGGATAGATGAGACCTTGTCTTTACAAAACAAAAACAACAGGCTCCAGAATACTAAAGCTTAGACCTGCCTTGTGTCCCTGAGTCCTGACTTTAATTCCAGCACTCTACCGAGTTGCAGAAGCCCCTCTGGGCCATAGCTGGAAGGACATTAGACCCACTGGTAACACCAAACAAGAGCTCTGTGAGCTTTCCAGTTGGCGCTGCCCCATGGCATGGGACCTGGAGCAGCAGCAAGGATCAGTGGGGCCCACAAGTGCCTTGTGGCTGTTGGTTTAACAAGTGACTTGTAAATTTTTAATTTTTTGTATTTTACATTTTGTGTGTGTGTGTGTGTGTGTGTGTGTGTGTGTGTGTACACATAGGAAAATCAGAGGGCAAATTTGAGGAATAAGTTCTGGCCTTCCACCATGAGGGTTCCAGGGATTAAACTTAGGTCCTCAGGCTTAGTGGCAAGCATCCTTAACCCTCTGATCCATCTTTCCAGCCCTTGGATGAACTCACTATGTAGACCAGGCTGGCCTTGAACTCACAGAGGTCTGCCTGCCTCTGCCTCCCGAGTGCTGGGATTAAAGGCGTGTGCCACCACACCCAGTGAAAATTTATTTTTATGTGTATGAGTATTTGCCTACATATATGTAAATGCACCACTTGTGTACCATGCTCACGGAGGTTATAAGAGGGCATCGAATCCCCTGGAACTGCAATTACAGATGGTTGTTAGCTTCCATGTGTGTGCTGAGAACTGCAACTGGTGCTCTTAACCACTGAGCCATCTCTCCAGCCACTATGTTGTTTGTTTTGTTTTTGAGACAAGGTCCCATGGAGCCCTGGCTGGCCTCCAACCTCCTCTGTAACTGAGGATGACCTTGAACTTCTTCCTGCTCCTACTGCCTCCAGTGTAGGATTACAGGTGTGCCCTGCTTCATCACTTGGTTTTGAAAATGAAAATTTAAGGGCCTGGAGATTGTAGCTCAGTTGGTAGTGTGCTTGCCTGGCATGCATGAAGCCCTGGATTCCATCCCCAGTTCTATATAAACAGCTCTGATGGTGAACATGTATACTCCCAGTATCCAGGAGGTGGAGGCAGGAGGATCAAAAGGTCAAGATCATCTTCAACTACATAGTGAATTCAAGGCCAGCCTAGGTTATGTATGTTTAAGTTTTTTTTAATTTTGTATTTTGGTTTTGTTTGTTTCTTTGTTTGCTTGTTTGTTTGAGATAGGGTTTCCCTGTAGCCCCAGTTGGCCTAGAACTCACTCTGTAGACCAAGCTAGCCTCAATCTCACAAAGATCTTCCTGCCTATGCCTCCCAAGTTCTGGGACTAAATGCATGCACCACTATATCTGGCAAAACAAAATTTTGATCTAAACAACAACCAAATAGCCTACATGATATGATACAGTTTAGGGCTTGTGCATATTTATTCATGTGTGTATGTACTTTGTTAAAGTTAGCAGGAGTGTTATGATTATAAAAAACTGGAAAGGAATAACATTTCATATCTTTCCATGTACTTAAGAAAGGAAAGGGAATTTGCTTTTAAGTTGGAAAATGGCCAAGAGTGGTGGGCCAGGGAAGGCCCACTAAAAGGTTCATTTATTCTTCTAATTTATTACAATTGTGGAAGTGGTATGTGTACTGAAATTGGCTCTCTCCTTCCTTTCACATGGATCCTGGGAATCGAACTCAGGTCACCAGGCTTGCAAGGCAAGTGCCTTTTATCCTCTGAGCCAACTTACTGACCTCTATTGGCAGAGGCATAGCTGGCTGGTCTCATCAGCATCTCTTCCTCTTGTACCCTGAGGAATAATGTTTCCCTGGGGACTAAGAAACCTTCCTTTGTGTGGCTCCTTAATTACCACGCTGTTATGCCAAAGTCAGTGAGTGGCAGGCGGGTGCAGCAGCTGGGCACAGCCAATGCCAGGCAGCAAAGCCCGCTCCCTTGGGACAGCCTGGGACAGCTGGCCTGGGAGTGCTGCCCACCCCGTCCCCCCAACTGCGCACCCACAGGGGATCCAGAAGGCCCTGGATGGTCCCAGGGCAGTGAGTGAACCCAAGGATCATTGGAGGAGGAGGAGGGGAGGGGAAGGAGGAAGAGGAAGAAGGGGCAGGATGTCGGGAGGGTCTCAACCACTCTCTAAGGCTTATTTATGTCACCCCTCTTCCTCTCCCACCTCTTGTTTTTGCAGACTGTCAGCGTCAATAAAGCCATTAATACCCAGGAAGTTGCCGTGAAGGAAAAACACGCCAGAAATATCCTTTTGGATGGAATCCTTGGAAGGCAGACCCTAGAAGGGGGTCAAATAATGGGGTCAATGGAGGTCAGGAGGGAGGCTCCTAACTCCCCAACAGGAAGAGTAACTGTTATCAGGGAGAGGCATGTGCAGATGAAAACCACTTCCAACACCAGCGGCAGACCCAGACAGCACTAGTTTCAGAGACACCAGCCTGTCATGGTTGAAGGGACACAGGAAGCCATCAAACCCAGGACTGTTTGGTTGTGGTTTTTGTTGTTGGGGTGTTTTTTTTTTTAATTTCATGTGTATGCATGTATTGCCTGCATGTAGGTAAGTACACCCATGTTGTGCAATGCCCTCGGAGGTCAGAAGAGGCTGTCAGATCTCCTGGGACTGGAGTTATAGACAGTTGTTAGTTGCCATGTGGGTGCTGGGATTAGAACCTGGGTCTTCTGTAAGAACAACCAGTGTTCTTAACCGCCGAGCCATCTGTCCAGCCCCTGTTGTTTTTGTTTGTGGAGACAAGGTCTCACTATGTGGCACTGGCTAGCCTGGGACTGGCTATGTAGACCAAGCTGACCTCGAACTCACAGGGATCCACCTGCCTCTGCCTCCCAAGGGCTGGAATTAAAAGCAAGAGCAACCACACCCAGCCTAAGCCGAGGACTTTTTAAGACTCATTTAATTCTTTTTTATATTTACTTATTTATTTTTTAAATTTTGAGACAGTGTCATATAGCCCAGGCTGGCCTCAAACTCATTATGTAGCTGAAGATTACCTTAAAGTTATGATCCTCCTGTCTCCACTCCCTGAGTGCTGGGATTAAAGGCATATACACCACATCCAGGTTTTATGCAGTTCTGGAGATGGAGCCCAGGGCTTCTTGCATAGTAGGCAAATGCTGTACCAACTGAGATACATTTTTACGTTTTATTTATGATTGATTGATTGATTGATTGATTGATTGATTGATTGGGGCTTTCTGTTGTTTTGAGACAAGGTCTCACTGTGTCTTCCAGGTACCCTTGAACTTGGGATTCTTTTGCTTCAAGCTCCCACTGGGATTATAGCTGTGTGCCACCAGGCCCAGCTCCTACCCTTACTTTTAATGATGTGTAAAAAGTAGGGTCAGGGCTGGAGAGATGGTTCAGAGGTTAAGAACACTGACTGTTGTTACAGAAGATCCAGGTTTGAATCCCAGCACCCACATGGCAGCTAACAGCTGTCCTCAACTCCAGTTCCAGGAAATCTGACAGCCTCTTCTGTCCTCCGCGGGCATTGCACAACACGGGTTCACTTACCTACGTGCAGACAATACTTGCATATACATAAAATAAAAATAATAAATAAGATATTTTAAAAAAAGAAAGAAAGGACAAAAAAGTGCTAGTGAGATGGCTCAGCAGATAAAGGTGCTTGCCTGGCCTCGCAGGCCTGACTTCTTGGGTTTGATTCTTAGACCCATGGTGAAAGGAGAGAAGCTACTTCTGAGAACACTGATACCTAAACACACACGCACACACACACACACACACACACACACACACACACAAATTTTAAAAAGAAAACCTCAGGGCTGGAATGTTGGCTCAGTACTTAAGAGCTCTGGCTGCTCTTGCAGAGGACCTGGGTTCAGTTCCCAGCATCCACATAGTGGCTAACAACCATCCATAACTCTAGTTCCAGGGGCTCCAATGCCATCTTCTGGCTTCCACAGGCATTTCACCCACATAGAGTACTAGACACACATAAAAATAAGTAAAAAGGAAACCATGTATTGTTAAAATGTTAGCTCTGGGCATTTACCATCCATTTGGCATACCCAGAGAAGCCAAGACGACTCTGGCTCAGGGCCACTTGTACAAATTAAAAAGAGACTTCCTCTCTCAAGTCACTTCCATTTCTGGGAGCCAACGTGGCACAAACCTATAATCTCAGCCATTGGAAGGCTGAGGCAGGAGGATTATCATGAGTCAGAAACCAGTCTGGGCTACAGAGTGAGACACTATCTCGTTAATGCCAATTATTTTTTAAATGCCTGATGATGTGGCCAGTTGGCCAAGTGCTTCCTTAGCATGCACAGAGCCCTGGGTTCCTTCCATCCATCCCCAGCACCACATATATCAGGTGTGGTGGTGCATGCCTGTAATCCTAGCACTCTGGAGGTGGAGGCAGGAGGATCAGGAGTTCAAGGACATCCTTTATTAACATAAGTTCCAGACCAGGCAGGGCGGCATGAATGTAGACTGTCTCAAAAGAACAGGAAAACAAAGACGAGAGCATTGGGGGAGAGGGAGAAGAAGGGAGAGCAAGGGACAGAGAAAGGAAGGAAGGAAGAAAGAAAAGAAAGAGCTGGCAAGAGGCTCAGAAGGTAAAAGCGCTTGGCACCAAGCCTGTCAACCTGAGTTCAGTTCCCAGGATTCACATGCTGGAAGGAGGAAACCTACTCCAGCAAGTTGTCTTCTGACCGCCACACATGCACTCTGGAACACATGCAACCCACACACAATTTATATATATACATATATGTGTGTGTGTGTGTGCGTGTGTGTGTGAATGTAATTTTTAAATATAATTTAAAAATAATTCTGCTGGACATAGTGGTGCATGCCTTTAATCCCAGTACTTGGCAATCTCTATGAGTTTAAGGCCAGCCTGGTCTACATAGCAAGGTCCAGGCCAGTTGGGGCTACAGAGAGACCCTGTCTCAAAAAAATAATAATAAAATAAAAAATAACTATTCCTTTTGGGGGAAACCATGTCATAAAAAGATCTTATAGAACAAGGTATTTTATTATTATCACTCTCCATGTTACCAGGGCAAATGTCTAGATCTTTGGGGTCTTAGTAATGAGCAGTGTCCCCACTCAGCCAGCACCTCCCTCCAGTCCTTTCTTTTCCCTGACTCTTCTCACCATGCATCCTGGGCACCCACCATGAGAAAGGGGCGCAGACCTTTTGGTCTGTGGTCAACCGGCTGCCTCTCTCTAGCAATGCCATGCTTTGCTGGAAATTTTGTCATGTCTTCCACAAACTCCTCCGAGACGGACATCCAAATGTAAGTCCCTGGGGCTTCAGGGCAGGACCCAAATCTGGGGAAGTGAAACTGGAGCTCGGGTCCTGCTGCCTGCTACTTACACATGCCAGTGAGCAGAAGTGGGAATTGAATCTTTGATTTATTTTTATGTGTATGTGTGAGTGTGTGCCACCTGTGTGTAATGCTCATGGGGTCCAGAAGAGGGTGTTGGATCCCCTGGAGCTAGAGTTACAGATGGTTGTGAGCCGCCCAGTGTGGGTGCTGGGAATGGAGCTCGGGTCTTCTGCAACAGCATCAAGTGCTCTTACCACTGAGCTGTCTCTCTAGCCCCAGGAATTTAATCTTTACAATTGGTCTTTATTCAAAGAGCCAGCAATCTGAGAAGATAGTGGATTAATATCCTAAAGATCTGCCTTCTCTCTCATCTCTAGCTGGAAGATTATATAGGGAGAAGGGGACAGGGCAAAGGCTGTCAATCATTCTAGAGCTCAGTCTTGCCCCTCTGGTTAGGTGGTCAGCCATGTTTCTTAGACTTGTGTGTGTCTCTCTGGTTATCACCCCTGCACTCTTCCCTCATTCTTGGCTCAGGTGTTTGTTGGGATCAGGTGTTGATGCCTGGGCTCAGGAGTTTGTTAAAATACCGAGTCAAGTTAGTGTCTCCTGGTATTGGCCTGGGTCTCCTCCACAGGAGCAAACTATTAACAGTGTGTATGCGCTAAGCTACTAACAGTGTATGTGTACAGATTCCTTTCTGCAATGTGGAGTGCAAGTGTGCCTTTTAAATGTTTTTCATTTTGCTATCTGTGTGTGTGTGTGTGTGTGTGTGTGTGTGTGTGTGTTACATGTGTGCAGAAGCCTGTGGAGGCCAGAAAGTGCCCCTGGAGCTGTGAGCTTCCCAATGTGGGTGCTGGGAACCAAACTCAGGTCCCCTCAGAGCAACAAACTCAGAATCTCTGAGTCATCTCTCCAGCCCCAAAGTGTGTCTTTATAACATAGAATATGAAGGTGCCCCTATCAAAAGTAACTGAGCCAGTGACACAGCTCAGTGGGTAAAAGTGCTTGTCACCCTAGCCTTGATGTCCTCAGCTTTATCTGTGGTACCCAAGGTGAAAGGGAGAACTAACTTAAAAGTTGTCTCTCTGACCTCCATGTGTGTACCATCACACACACACACGCACACACACACACACACACACACACACACACAATTTAAAAAGGTGGCTGGCTGTTGCACTCTTTCTCTTTGGTTTCCTATGGGTGGTAGGTGTGCCTCTCCTCGTGGGTCTCTCCCCATTCCAGGCCCAGCTTCACTCTTCTCTGATCACCCCTTTCTTCACTAATGGATTCCTTTCTTCCCTCTCCAGGTGCTAAAAGACTCTCTAAGATACAAAAATGAATTAAGTGACATGAGCAGGATGTGGGTGAGTGTGGAGATGCATCTGGGATGCATCCTCATCCCCAGACATGATCAGACATGGAGGATGGGGTGGAACAGGATGGGATGTATCTCTTGTAGTTTGGTTTGGTTTGGTTTGGTTTAGTTTGGTTTGGTTTGGTTTGGTTTGGTTTGGTTTGGTTGTCAGGGTCTCATAGTATATAGCCCAGGATGTCTTCAAACTCACTATGTACCCAAAGATGACAGGGAACTCTTGATCCTCCTGCCTCTACCTTCAACTCCTGAGGTTACAGGCATTCATTGCCACACCTGGTTTAGGTGATGGAACTCAGGACTCCATGCATGCTAGGTAGGCACTCTAGTACTGAGCTGCATCACCAGCCCATTTCTCGATTGTTTATATTTTCATCTGAGCTTCGGAGGGGAGCTAAATAGTATCTCCAAATAGTACCACTATGTCCACTGTCTTGCCTGAATTTCTGAAAGCTACTGAAAAGTTCCAGGGCCCAAGAGCCTCAAATGCCAATGGAACCCCATGTCTCAAAGATGTCCCAGTGTTTGGATCCGTCACAGGAACTCAACACTGTTTTTTCCCCTTCGTGATAACAGTACATTGAGAATTGGCACTTTTAATTCTTTGTTCATTTGTTTGATTGTTACAGGGTCTCTCTGTATAACCCAAGCTAGCCTGGAACTGGTGTTCCTCCTGCCTCAGTCTCCTGAGTGTTGGGGTTATAGCCATGCACTCTGTGTGGTGTGTGTGTGTGTGTATGTGTGTACTGAGTGGGAGGTGATGCATATGTACCTGTGTGTGGAAGCCAGTAGTCAGGCTTAGGTGTCGTTCCTCAGAAATTGTCCACCTTGTTTTTTGAGACAGGGTTTCACTGGAACCTAGGACCCACTAGTTAGGCTAGGTTGGCTAGCCAGTAAGCCCCAGGGAGCCTCCTATCTCTGCCCTCCAGATTTGGGATTACAACCCTCTAGCTTGCATAACAATCATTTTACCACCTCTCCTCATCAGCTGAGCCATCTCCCCATCAACTGAGCATCTCCCCAACTCTTCTTATTCTATTTTTCTCATTATTTGCATTCTTCTAGATTGATTGGGTCTTACTTTGTAGCCCAGGCTAGACTCAAACTCAAGATCCTCCTGCCTCAACCTACCTAGTGCTAAGATTACAAATGTATACCACCATGACTGGCTTCCTTCACAACATCTTTTTTGTTTGTTTGTTTGTTTGTGTGTTTGTTTGTTTGTTTGTGTGTGTGTGTGTGTGTGTTTGTTTTGAGACAGTCTCCCTATAGCCCCAGGTGATTTGGAACTTGCTATGTAGACCAGGCTGGCCTCAATCTCACAGAGATCCACCTACCTGTACTTATGTGGTGGGAATAAAAATGTGTGTCACCCAGCTGTACAATATCTTTTTTTTTAAGATTTAATTTTTAAAATTTGTTTTTATTTTATGTAGTGAGCATTTTGCCTGCATGTATGTAAGTGCACCATGTGCATGCAGTGCCCATGGAGGCCAAAAGAGAACATTGGATCTCCTGGAACTAGAGTTACAGGCAGTAGTCAGCTGCCATGTAGGTGCTGGGAATGGAACCTAGGTCCTCTATAAGAGCAGCAAGTGCTCTTAACCTCTGAGCCGTCCAGCCCCCTAAAGATATTAAGCCGGGGCCTGGTGGCGCACGCCTTTAATCCCAGCACTCGGGAGGCAGAGGCAGGCAGATCTCTGTGAGTTCAAGGCCAGCCTGGTCTACATAGTAAGTTCCAGAACAGCTCAGGCTACAGGGAGACCCTGTCTCAAAAAAACCACAAAAAAACAACCAACAACACCCCCCCCAAAAAAACCCCCAGTAATTGTAATCTGTATATAAAATATTTTATTTGTGTGTGGAGGGGTGCAGTGTCCATGGAAGCCAGAAGAGGGTGTCTCATTCCCTGGAGTTACAGGTGGTAGTGAGCTGCTATGTAGGTCCTGGGAACCAAACTCAGATCTTCTGCAAGAGCAGCAAATGCTTTTAACTGCTGAGCCATCTCCCCAGCCCCCTTTACAATATCTTATGTCTTACAAATATTTTAGCAATTCATTATAATCACGTCATAAATCACATTTTATAATTCCATCATTTGTCCTGAGAGATCTGTTTCAGCCATCTGGCATTTCTGATGAATTTTGGTTATTCTTCCCATTTTTCTTTTGTGCTGTGCTTTTTTTTTTTTTTTTTTTTTTCCTTCCCATCAGCTACTCAGTATTTCTCAACACAATTCTCTGAAGTCTGTAACAAAGGCAGGTTCCTCCAGGGAGACCACTCTCAATGAAAGCTCTCAGCCGGAGGTCTGTGAATTCTGGAAAGCTCCCTTGAAGAGTCACATTCCCAGGAGTAAATTTTACTTTGTTCCAATCACAGGACTGGTTTGAAGAAATTAGATGTTCTTTTTTTTAAAATGTGTATAAGTATTTTACCTGCATATATGTAAGTACACCACATGTGCAGTGCCCATGGAGGTCATGTGTGGCGTCCGAGAGGGCATCAGATCCCCTGGAACTTTAGTTATGGACTGTTGTAAGCCACAATGTGGGTTCTGGGAACCAAACCTGGAGCCTCTGAAAGAACAGCCAGTGCTCTAAACTGCTGAGCCATCTCTCCAGCCCCCCAAATTAGATAGTCTCAAAAGTCTTGGAAGAATTCCCTCTATACAAGAGTGCTGGGGTAGGCAAGGTCTCTTTATAAATTATTTTTTTATTATATTTATTCATGGTGGCGCACGCATGCCACCAAACATGAATGGAAGTCAGAAGGTACTTATGGGAATCGGTTCTTGCCTTCCACTATGTGGATCCTGAGAATCGAACTCACATCATCAGGCTTGACAGCAAGTGCCTTTATCTGCTGAGCCATCTTGCAGGCCCTGCTTGAATGCTGATGTTTCTTCCTTTACTCTTCTCTAAAGGGCCACCTGAGTGAGGGGTATGGACAGCTGTGCAGCATCTACCTCAAACTGCTGAGAACGAAGATGGACTACCACACCAAAGTGAGTGTCAGTACCAGTCAGCCACCATCCAGGCTCCTGCTCCTTCATCCAACTCCTCCCTTCTCCAGCTCTCCCTCCAGCCCTAGTTTTACCACCATGTCTTTAGGCAACAGCCTGGGCTTTCAGGGAGTGGAGGCACCACGGCCCCACTCTGTGAGGGACAATCAGTTGATAGAGCAACAGTGGTCAGAAGCTCAGGGTGTGACCAGGCTTTGTTGTTTGTTTCGTTTTTGAGACAGGGTCAAACTATGAAAAACAGACTAATCTGGAATTCACTCTGTAGACCAGTCTGGCCTTGAACTCACAGAAATTCGCCTGCCTCTGCCTCATAAGTGCTGGGATTACAGATGTGCACCACCATGCCTGGCCTGTACTCAGGCTTCTGACCTACTCCCCCTAGGCTCTTCTGTTTCTCATTTCCCAAATAGTAGAACACCATCCATTAGGTGGTGGTGCCTTGTGGAAATGGTGCCAAAGCATTGATTTATTTATTGTTGCTTTTATTGCATTTTATTTTTTGAGACAGGGTCTCCCCGTAGCCCCAGCTGTCCTGGAACTTGCTATGTAGACCAGGCTGGCCTTGAACTCACAGAGATCCACCTGCCTCTGCCTCCTGAGTGCTGGGATTAAATGCATGTGCCACCACGCCCGGTTTATTTCTTTTTTTATGTTTGAGTGTTTTGCCTGAATGTATATAAGTGCACCTGTGCATGCAATCTCTGAGGAGGCCAGAGGAGGGCATCAGATACCCTGGAACTGGAGTTATTAGATGGTTGTTATCTGCCATGTGGATGCTACAAACTGAACCTAGGTCCTTTGGAAGAGCAATAAGTGCCCTTAACTGCTTGAGTCATCCTGCCAGCACCAGTATTGCATTTCTTGTTGGGGTGGGGGTTGTGTGGGTAGGAATAGGGGTTGTATGTGTGTGTGTGTTGGAGGGTTTTGTCAGAGCACAACCTGCAGGAGTCAGTTCTCTCCTACTGTGTTGGCCCTGGGAGTCCAACTCAGGCCATCTGACTTGGTCAATAGCACCTGTACCTCCTGAGCCATCTTATGTCAGGGGGAAGGAATGTTAGGGCACATATGCGGAGGTCAGAGAACAACTTGCAGGAGTCTATTTCTCCTTCCACTTATGTGTGTACTAGAGACTGAATTCAGGTCTTCAGTCTTGGTGGTAAAGCGCCTTTACCAGCTGATCCATCTTGCCAGCTCCCTCTGGCATGTGCTCAGCCTACATTTTAAAAGATAGATTTATTTGTTTATTCATATCTATTTTTATTCTTTGTATATGAGTGTTTTACCTGGCCCATGAAGGCCAGAAGAAGGCATTGGATCCCCTGAAACTGGAGTTACAGATGGTTGTTAGCTGTCATGTGGGTGCTGGGAACTGAACCTGAGTCTTCTGCAAGACCAGCTCTTAACTGCTGAGCCATCTCTCCAGCCCTCAACCTGCTTTCTTATACAACCTAAGACCACCTGCCCAGGGGTGGCACTGTCCACAATGAGCTGGGCCCTACTGTACCACTCAACAATCGAGAAAATTCCTCACAGGCATTCCCACGGGCCAATCAGAAAGAGGAACTCTCCTTGCCCCCCATCAAGTTGACAACCTTCTTCCAGGTCAAAGCGTTGACTGTGGAAGTTAAAAGTCCCTTCATTCAGTAGCCACCAATCTACCCATCTTTCTGTGATCTCTTCTGTCTTACAGTGCTTTAGCTACTCTAGCGGCTAGGCAGGAGGATCACTTGAACCCAGCAGAGGAGGCTGGGAACGTGTCTCCACTGGTGCTTGCCTAGCACACAGGAAGCACTGGGTTCCATCCGTAGCACCACACAAACCAGGCACAGTGGTGCATACCACACTTGAGAGATGGAGGCAGGAGAATCAGAAATTCAGGGTCATCCTCAGCTATATAGTGAGTTTAAGGCTAGCCTGGACTACGTGATGCTCTGTCTCAAAACAAAAAGCAAACAAAAAAAGTCAAGAACATGCATCTGTGTTTCCTGGACTTCTGAGAGCATGAAGTAGGAACTCTGGTGAATGGCAAAGGACAGCAGGAAGTCTGGGTGGAAGTCAGGAAGGGACCACTGATAACTAAGTGTCTGCTGCCTGAGGATGTGGGAGAGCAACCTTCAGCCCTGAGGATGAGTCACAGGCTTTCTTTCCTGTGAGCCTTATGAACTGACCCACCTCCCTGAGAAGAGTGTCATTGAACTAGGGCCTGCCGCACATGCTCAGAGGAGACAGCTTGTCAGCACTGCTTTCTTTGGGAGATAGATAGATGATAGATGATGGATGGATGGATGGATGGATGGATGGATGGAGAGAGATAATTTTATTTTGGTGGTACTAGAGATTGAAACTTGCTTCTTGTACATGCTAGGAAAACACTCTGCCATTGAGTTATTTCCCCCAAACAAGCATTCCATTCACTGAGCTGCATCCACAGACAAGCACTCCACCCACCAAGCTGTATCCTCCTCCTTCTTCTGCCTCATTCTAACTTTCTTCCTCCAAATTCCCTTTCAGAATCCCAGGTTCCCAGGCAATCTTCAGATGAGTGATCGACAGCTGGATGAGGCTGGAGAAAGTGATGTTAACAATTTGTAAGTGGCCATCCTCCAGCTCCAAATCCAGTAGGGAAGGAAGCGTTTGTGATTTTTGTTGCTCCTGGCTAGGGTCATAAAAGGCCTTATGATAAGGGACAGAGGCTGGGGTGGGGAATTAAGCCCCTGGGTAACTTGGCTTTGGGGCCACTTACTGCTAGCGCACATCCATTGGAACTCTTGCCTGACCATACCCTGATGGCTTCTTTGCCTCAGTCCCTGTCTTCTCTGTCCCCATCACTGTGGACCCTTCGACCAGCTTGGTCTTTAAATGGCTTTCATAATACATACTTGGGACAAAGCCAGGGTGTGTTCATGTACTGGCAAGTATGCATCTGTGCTCACATAGGGGCCCTAGGAGTGGGGAAGTAAGAGGACAGGGCAGGGGGAAGGGCAGGTAAAAACCTAGCTTTGTTGGCTGGGGGTGTGTCTCAATGGTAGAGCTCCTGCCTAGAATCTTCCAGTGAGGGACTGGGTGTGTAGCTCTGTGGTAGGGCTTCCTGCCTAGAATCCCCCAGTGAGGGGCTTGGGGTATAGCTCTGTGGTAGGGCTCCTGCCTAGAATCTTCCAGTAAGGGGGCTGGGGGTGTGGCTCAGTGGTAGAGCACCTGTCTAGAATCCCCAGTGAGGGGCTGGGGGTGTGGCTCAGTGGTAGAGCACCTGCCTAGAATCCCCCAGTGAGGGGCTAGGGGTATGGCTTAGCAGTAGAGTATTTAGCCAGCATGTATAAGGCTCTGGGTTCCATCTGCAGGACTTGGGGGACAGGGGCATCAGGCCTGTGGATTTTAAGCTGTTTCCTCTTCTATATAGTTTTCAGCTCACAGTAGAGATGTTTGACTACCTGGAGTGTGAACTGAACCTCTTCCAAACTGGTAAGGCTCTTCCCTATTAACTGCCCCAGGCTGTCAGGGGAATTGTTCACCTGATTCCTAGACTGATTCTGTGTGATGTGGCCAGTATAGCCCTGCTTTTCTCTTTTTGTATTTTAGAGACAAGATTTCACTCTGTACTCCAGGCTGGCCTCAGATTCACAGCAGACCTCCTGCCTCAGCCACCTAAGTGTTGGGATTATAGGTATGCATCACCATGCCCAGTTAGCACAGCCCTATCTCTCCATCTCTGCTTAACACAAGAATATCAAAGCAGAGCTGTTCATAGCAGCCTGTGTGTTCTTCTCGCAGAAGGATCTGAAGCTCCTGCATCTTTCTGAAGCCAGTTATTTCATTTCAGACAGGGAGATGTCACTACCCCTATTTTAGAGCCTCCTTCCTGAAGTCCAGGCTCCCAAGAACACAGAGAGGGTTCAGCCTTCTCTGATAGCCATTGGGTAGTGGCCCCAGCCCCAGCCAGTCTTGTCTGTGATTGGACCTTCACTTCCACTCAGGCAAGCTTTCTGCTCAGAAAGAGAGCCTGTCTTGGGCTAGGGATGTGGCTCAATTGGTTGAATACTTGCCTAGCATACAGAGAAGCCTTGAGTTCCATCCCCAGCACTACATAAAATGGGGTATGGTGGCTGACATTTGTAATCCCAGAACTTGGGAGTTGGAGGCAGAAGGATTAGAAATTCAGAGTCATCCTCTGCTCCATAGTAACATGAAGGCTATCCATGACAGCATGAGACTCTCTCTGTCTCAGAAAACAAAAGAAAACAAAAGACAGGATTTTTAAGTCCCACCCCAGACTTGCATGTCAGAATGCAACAAGAGGTAGAGATTCCCAGAGTGTGTTGGCCAGCCAGCCTAGCCTATTTGGTAAGCTCCAGGCCAATGAGAGACCTCTCCTTTCCTTCCTCCCTTCCTTCTTTCCTCCCTCCCTCCCTCCCTCCCTTCCTTCCTTCCTTCCTCACTCCCTCCCTCTCTCCCTCCCTCTTTTTCTTTCTTTCTTTCTTTCTTATTATGTGTATCTATGTAACAGTAATGTGCAGGTGAGTGCAATTCTCTGCAGTGGCCAGAAGAGGGCATTAGTGCCCATGGAGCTAGGGTTACAGGCAGTTATGAGCTCTCCAGTGTGAGTGGGGGGAACTGAATTCCAGTCCTCTACACTTTGCACTCTTTTTTATGTGTATGAATATTTTGCCTGCATGTATGTAAGTGTACCATGTGCATACAATGCCTGCAGAGATCAGAAGAGGGCATTGGGTCCCCTGGAACTGGAGTTATGACACTTATTAGCCACCATGTGGGTGCTGGGAATCAAACCCAGTTCCCCTGTGAGAATAGCCAGTGCTCTTAACTGCTGAGCCATCTCTCCAGCTCTAATACAGTCTTTTTTTTTTCCTTTCTGTCTTTTTGAGACAGGGTCTCTCTGTAGCCCCAGCTGACCTGGAACTCGCTATATAGACCAGGCTGCTCTTGAATTCACAGAGATCATGTGCTACCATGCCCGCTACTGTCCTTTTTTAAAAAATATATATATTTATTTATTTATTTTTATTTTATGTTATGTGTATGAGTGCATGTATATAAGTGCACCCATGTTGTGCAGTGCCTGCTAAGGACAGAAGAGGGCATCAGATTCCCTGGAACTGTAGTTACCGATGGTTTTAGTCGCCATGTGGGTGCTGGGATTTGAACCCCATTCCTCTGCAAGGCCAGCCAGTGCTCTTAACCCCTGAGCCATCTCTCCAACCCCATACCCTGTCTTAAAAACAAAGTAGAAAGCAACTGAGGAAGACACCTGAGGTTGACCTCTGGCCTCCACATGCACATGCCCACATGCACATGTATACACACACACACACACACACACATACACACAAAGCAGAGAAGCACAGCGCTTGTCATCCTGACCTCATGGGTCTTACCAGATCCTTGAGAGACATGAGCTGTCAAAATCGTCATGCTTCACAGCAGAGCATCCCTAAGTTCAGGCAGTTTGAGAAACTTGTTCAGTCACACTGCTATAGCTACTGCTGTGGGCCAAGACACATTCCTGGACATCTTCTGGAGAAACCCAGGCAATGGAGCTGGCTATCAGTCCTTGCCAGAGTGGAGACCAAAGAAGCCAATAGTCACAGATGGCTGCCTTGCAATGACAGCTACTTTTAATTTGTGTCAAGACGAAAAAGCTGCCTTTTAATTAGAACAGTTTGGGTGGCTCCCATCCCCCCTCCGTCTCACCCGCCAGACAAATCCACTTATAGAGATGTGTGCAGACAGGGGAGGTGAACCACATGGGGACTTGGTATTTGGTGGGTCTGTGCATGAAGAAACATCAGAGAACTAGTGTGGTGCACACTGCACATAGAGTCTCCAGGGACAGTGGGAGCAGGTACAAGAAGGATGTCAGTCCTGGCCAGTGAGCTGAGGGCCTGTAGGCCAGCATTCAGCAGCTGGGTGTAAAAGATGATATAATGTAGGTGGATGCCTGGAGTATAGAACTGAAGAAACTGCTGGTTATGTAGCTCAGTTGGTAGAGTGTTTGCCTAGCATGCACAAAGCCCTGAGTTCAAATCGCCAGCACCATATAAATTGGGTGGCCCATACCTGTAATCCCAGCATTCAAGAAGTGGATCAGAAATGCAAGGTCATCCTTGCTTCACAGCAAGTTCAAGACCACCTTGGGCTATATGAGACCCTCTCTCAAAAAAACAAAAAAAAAACAAAAAAAAATTGGGGCCTTGCACAAAGTAGAGCCTCTGTCATCTGGTCATGATATACCAAGCCTTTGGCCATTAGGAGTAGAGGCACCTGGTCTAGCTATTAATGGCCACATGGGTTCAACACAACTACTTATTGGCTTTGTGGCCACATTCAAGGGACTTAAGGTACATTTCCTCACCTAGTGGAAATACCCTTTCCTGACTCACAGGAGTATCATGAGAGTTAAATAATTACATGAGAAAAAGCAACTGACCTGCATGCATGTCAGCCCAGCACTCAGGAGGCTGAAGCCAGAGGATGGAAATGTTAAGGCTTGCCTGAGCTACAAAATGAGGTTTTATCTGAACATAAAATTACAAAAATTACTGCTAAAACAAACAAACAAAAAATTACTGCTAGGGGTAGAACACTGCCTAGACTCTACCAGTAAGGGGCTAGAGGTGTGGCTCAAAGGTAGAGCCCTTACCTAGAATCCCCCAGTGAGGGCTCGGGGTGTGGTTCAGTGGTAGAGCACCTGCCTAGAATCCCTCAGTGAAGAGTTGGGGATGAGGCTCAGTGGTAGAGCACCTGCCTAGAATCCCCCAGTGAGGAGTTGGGTATGAGGCTCAGTGGTAAAGCACCTGCTTTACATACACAGGCCCTGGGTTCCATTCTTAGTGCCACAAAAACAGAGCAAATACATGCACAGAATGAGTCTTGGGTATTTATTAGGCCCCTGCTCCTGCTCCCCTGCAGAGGCTCTTACCTCATTCTGGCCTTTCTCCCTATTTTCCTGCACAGTGTTCAACTCCTTGGACATGTCCCGCTCAGTGTCAGTGACAACAGCCGGACAGTGCCGCCTCGCACCGCTGATCCAGGTCATTCTGGACTGCAGCCACCTCTATGACTACACTGTCAAGCTACTCTTCAAGCTCCACTCCTGTGAGTATGCCAGCTGCACCACCTGATGTGAGCTCCAAGCCTAGAGAAGGGTCCCAGCCTCAGTTAGTGCCCAGAGGTATGCAGGCAGTCCCACTCAGTACCCTTGACCTTTCCCTCTATTCCAAAAGCTCTGGGGCATTTGGTCAGCTGAGAAAAACAGGAAGCAACCTAAGCTTTACATTGCCCATCTAGCTCCTGACCTTCCAGTCCTGTGTCCTAGAATGGTTCCTATCCACCTCCAACTCTACCATGTCACCATTCACCAAGAGCATCATGTGTTCCTAGATGCACACAAAGGGCACCAGACCTGACTCAGACTCACATGTGCTAATGCGGTGACTTCCAAACCATTTATCAAACCAGGTAGAATTTATGGAGAACTATAAAATACAAAATAACAGGGCTGGAGAGATGGCTTAGCAGTTAAGAGCACCAGATGCTCTTCCAGAGGACCCAGGTTCAATTTCCAGCACCTACATGGTGGTTAACAACTCTGTAACTCCAGTTCCAGGGGATCCAATGCCCTCTTCTGATTGTGGACATTGCATGACATGGGTGTACTTACACACATACAGGCAATACACTCACACACAAAAAAATTTAATAATAAATAAAATATATAAAAAACAAAATAGCTATAGGGCTGGGGATATGGCTCAGCAGTTAAGAGCACTGGCTGCTCTTGCAGAGGACCTGGGTTTGGTTCCCAGCACCCACATGGCAGCTAACAACTGTCCATAACTCCAGTTCCAGGGGATCTGACTCCTTCTTCTGACTTCTGCAGGCATTGCACAACATGGGTACACATTGCATACATTCAGGCAATATACTCATACACATAAAAAAAAATAAAAATAATAAAGAATGAAATATTTTAAAAATTAAAATAAGCAAGTTTAAATGAACTTATTTTATTTGTGTATTTCTTTTTTAGGTTTATTTAAGAGAGAGTTTCATTAGCCCAGGCTGCCCTTGAATTCACAGTGCAACTCAGGATAACCTTAAGCTCTTGATTTTCCTGTTTCTGCCTCCCAGATTGTGGGATTACAAGCATATACCACCACCCCCAACCCTCTGTTAATATATTGGCATGATAAGTTTGTCAGTGGATGAGCTAGTGTTGATACTTTTGTGTGTGATCTATTGGGGCTGGACACCAGTGCCTTATGCACACTAGGCAAGCAGTTTACTACTGACCCACGCCCCCAGCTCCTCACTGAGGGATTCTAGGCAGGCGCTCTACCACCAAGCCACACCCCAGCACCTCACTAGAGGATTCCAGCAGGCACCCACCACTGACCCCAGCACCTTATAGTTTACTTTAAGCTAAAGTCCAAACTTCTCAGATTTCCACCATTCTTACCCAGTTTCCCTTTCTGGCATCCATCTAGACCCCATAATAGTCATTTCTTCTTAGGTTCCTGGTAGCTGTGACAGCTAATCGGACTTCCTTTGTTTTTGATGACCTTGACAGCTTTGAGTATTAGTCAAGTTTTTTTATGGAATCTTCCTTAATTCAGCTTTTTCTGATGTTTTCCTCATAATAGAACTGAGATTAAGGGTTTCTTGGGGGGGGATCAAAGAAATTAAGTGCCACTTTTATCTTCTAAATTTTTTGGTTTGTTTTGAAATAAGGACTCTGTATACAACCCAGGCTGACCTTCGAACTCTCCATCCACTCGCTCACTTTTATCATTTTCACTAATCATAATTTATATATGAACTTTCTGTTTATGTCAATCATTCAAAAATGATTAAAAACTAGGCCTCGCCTGTTGTGGGGCACATGCCTATAGTCCGAGCACTTGGGAGATAGAGGCAGGCAGATCTCTGTGAGTTCAAGGCCAGCTTGGTCTACATAGTGAGTTACAGGCCAGCCAGCTGGAGCTACAGGGTGACCCTGTTTCAAAAAAAAAACTAGGCCTGGTGGCACACACCCATAATCCCAGCACTGAGAGGCAGAGGCAGGGATATCGCCCTAAGTTTAAGGACAGCCTGGGCTACATAGTGAGTTTCAGGACCCAAGTCTCAGTGTCTCAAATAAAGATAGAATAATCCAGGTATTTGTTTTTCCACATATAGGGGAAGCTAAGGCAAGAAGGTAAAGGCACCAGCTGCCAAACCTGACAACCTGAATTCAGTCACTAGGACCCACATGGTGGAGAAGAGAACTGACTCCCACAAGTTGTCCTCTGACCTCTACATGTATACTCACACATAGTGACAAAATAAAATGGATATAATATTTTAAAATTTTAGGCCAGGTGTGATGGCTCATGCCTTTAGTCCCAGCACTGGGAGGCAGTGGCAGGTGGATCTCTGTGAGTTCAAGGCCAACCTGATCTACATAGAGAGTTCCAGGCCGGCCAGGACTACACAGTGAGACCTTGACTCAAAATAAATAAATAAACAAACAAACAAGTAAATAATTTTTTTCTGATGTTTTTGAGACAGGGTCTCCCTGTAACCCCGGCTGTCCTGGAACTCGCTATATAGACCAGGCTGGCCTCAACTCACAGAGATAAGCCTGCCTCTGCCTCCCAAGTCCTGGGATTAAAGGTGTGCACCACCATGCCTGGCTTCCAAATAAAACTGAAAAAATAAAATCAAGTGAGGTGTGATGACTTGTGCCTGTAATTCTAGCACTCAGGAGGCTGAGGCAGGAGAATCATGAGTTCAAGGCTAACCTGGTCTAGATAGCAGGACCTTGTCTCTAAGTAAAATAAGAACTGAGTTTTGATTTGTAGCCAAAATACACAGCCACTCATAGTCTGGGATAGAGAAAAAGGACTGGCCCTAAAGTATCACAGAGTTAGCTAGGGACCGAGTCCTGCATCTAAAGGTGCATCCCACAGTTGAGGGAGAGCCCCCTCCCCTGAGCCTTCCCTCAGCTACCCTGCTGCTTGACAAAGCCATGGCTTCTTAGGGGGCGAAACTTCCATCTCACTGGGCTCAAATAGTGAAGTGGAAGGATTCGGAGGGCTACAGTCCTTCTGTCCCTGACATGTTCCCTTGGTTACCAGACGTTGGAGCATCTCAACCGGGAGCTGCCAGGGGTTCCTGGGGATGGCTGGCCCCTCCCTCCATCAGATCCTTGCTGTGGCTTGGCTGCCCTCTGGTCCTCCTGTATCCACATATTCCTTCCAATCTCCTCCAGGTCTACCAGCTGACACCCTGCAGGGCCACCGAGACCGCTTCATGGAGCAGTTCACCAAGTAAGTAGCTCATGGATAGGGGATAAAGTCCAATCAAAAAGTCTTCTAGGGGACTGAGGAGATGACTCAGTGGGTAAAGTGCCTGCTGTGCCATGCAAGCATGAGGACCTGAGTTCAGCTCCCCAGCACTCACATAAAAAGCCAGGCACCTTGGGGCAGGGGATGGCTCAGTGGTTAAGAGCACTGGCTGTTGTTGCAAAGGACCTGGATTCAGTTCCTGGCACCCAATGGCAGCTAACAACTATCTGTAACTCCAGTTCCAAGGGATCCAACATCCTCTTCTTGCCTCGGCAGGAATTGCATGCACATGGCGCACTTACATACATGCAGGCAAAACATTCACACACGTAAATTAAAAATAAAAAATAAATTATACATGTGAAGCAAGGCACAACAGAGCATATATATAACACTAGTGCTTGGGAGGCAGAGACAGGAGGATCAAGGATCCTTGAGGCTCAGTAGCAGCCAGACTAGGTAAGCGCTAGGTTCAATGAGACACCCTGTCTTGAAATGTAAAGTAACAGAGGAAGACACCTGATGTTGACCTCTGGCCTTGCAGGTGTACCCCCTCCATGCACACACAAAGTCCTCAACACTTTACTATGGTATGGGGAAGGGCTTATAAAGGTTTACCCCTTCCTGAGAATTTATAGGTAGTTCAGGATTGCTAGGGGGAAGGGGCCCAGAAGGCCCCACCGCTCCCTGAGACTACAGACAGGCAATGTTTTCTCTGGTGATGCTCAGTTACTTTTGTCCTTTTTGGCTTTGTATTCAGTCTCAGACCCCATCCGCTGGAATAGTACCACCCATATTCAGGGTGGGTCTTCCCTCTCTTCCCTCAGTTAAACCCTCTAGAAACACCCTCACAGAGCGCTATGTACGAAAGTGTGTCTCCTAGGTGATTTTAAATCCAATCAAGTTGAAAATATGAATTGACCATCATACACTACCTCCATTACCTTCTCTTGTCCCTTTCCTTCCCACTCCCCTTGGTTTCCTTCCTACCCCCTCTACTACATGTCCTATGCATACGTATATTTAAATCTAGAGTCTATGTATTAGAGAAAACATGCAAATATATGTCTTTCTAAATCTGGCTTAGTTTACTTAACATGATAATGTCCAGTTCCATCCATTTTCCTTCAAATGGCATCATTTAAAAAAAAATTACTACATTTAGTGTGTGTATATGTATATGTGTGTCACTCACAACATACATGTGAAGGTCAAGATAGCCTGCAGGAGTCAGTTCTTTTCCTTCTACCATGTGAGTGTTGGGACTCGAATTCAGGTTGTCAGACTTGGCAGCAAGCACCATTACGCACTGAGCCATCTCGCTGACCCTATAATTCATTCCTCTTTATGGCTGAATAAAACTCCATGTGTAGAGACCACATTCTCTTTATCCATTCATCTGTTGATGACTCCTAAATTTGGCTATTTTGAAGAGCAGCGCAGGGAACATTAATGTGCAGATATCTCTGCTGTGCTGAAGTAGATCCCTTCAGATATGTAAACAGGAGTATTACGGCCAGACAAGATGGTTGTTCTGGTTTTAGGATTTTGAGGAAACTACATACTGACTCTAGCGTGGTTGCGCCTGTTTACATTCCTGCCAACAGAGTACTAGAATGTCTCTGTCCCCACATCCTTACCCCCATGTTTGTTTTCTTTTTTTCTAATTTTTTATATTTATTTATTATTTTTATTTTATGTATATGAATATATTGCCTGCATGTGTGTAAGTGAATCTGTGTCATGGAATGCCTGTGGAGGCCAGAAGAGGATGTTTGATCTCCTGGAACTAGAGTTACGGATGGTTGTTAATTGTCATGTGGGTGCTGAGAATTAAACCTGGTCCTCCGCAAGAGCAGCCAATGCTCTTAACAGTTGAACCATCTCTCCAACCTCTGTGTTTGTTGTCTTGATGATAGGCATTCACACTTGAGTGAGAACTCTCAGTGTAATGTTTTTGTTATTGATGTTTTATTTATTTATGTGTATATGTGTTTGTCTGTTTGAGTGTATGTGGTTGCCTAAGGAGGCCAGAGAGGGTATCAGATTCAGATCCCCTAGAACTGAAGTTGCAGGTGGTTGCAAACCATCTCATGTGAGTGTTGGGAACTTAACTCAGGTCCTCTGGAAGAGCAGCAAGTGCTCTTAACCACTAAACCATCTCTGCAGCTCCTCTCAGAGTAGGGTTTTTGTTTTGGGGGATTTTTTGTTTGTTTGTTTGTTTGTTTGTTTGTTTTGAGATAGGGTCTTCCTGTAGCTCCAGCTGGCCTGGAACTCAATATGGAGACCAGGCTGGTCTCAATCTCACAGAGATCTGCCTGCCTCTGCCTCCCGAGTCCTGGGATTAAAGGCATATGCTACAACGCAGCTTTCAATGTGGTTTTAATTGGTATTTCCCTGGTAGCTAAGGATATTGAGCATATACAAACACACACACATATGTCTGTGTGTATATATGTATGTATGTGTTGGTAGTTTAGTTTCCTTTCTGTTGCTGTGATAAAATACCCTGACATAAAGCAGCTTAGGGGGAACAGGTTTATTTCACTTGTTACAGTCTATTATTTTGGGGACGTCAGGACAGGAGCTCAAGGCAGCTAGTCACATCACCTCCAGTTGCAGAAAGCATGAAAGCACACATGCTTGTAGCTCAGCTAGCTCTCCAGTCTCACACAGTCCAGGATCCCCCTGCATAGGGAATGGTGCAGCCCACAGTTGGCTGGATCTTCCCACATCAATGAAGGCAAATGAGGACACTCCCCCACATACATGCCCCCAGACCAACCTGGTCTAGATAATCCCTCATTGGGACATTCTATCCCAGGTTATTTTCGGTTGTGTCAGGTTGGTGGAACCAACCATCACAGATGGCCATTTGTATTTCTTCTTTTGAGAACTGTTCATTACTGAGGCAGGCATTTTGACTTAATTTGTTCTCCATTCATTTCTTCATTTGACCATGGCTTCTCAGTCCCTCACTGGTGCTTGTCTTGGTTCCCCCAAGAGCAGTCAAAGTACAGACAGGGTTGAACTCACCCTGATTTCCCTCTTTCTGCTGGCAAAGCCTGTGAGTACTCTAAGACTTAGAGATCCTCAGAGACAGGCCCTGGGGTGAGTTTCCTGGAATATTACATTCTAGTGGCTTGCAAAACACTGAAGTCATTACTGTTGGCTCTAGCCCAGAAAGATAGGGTGTGTGGTCAGCTGGTTTTATTTCCTTACTTTTTTTTTTAATAGTTTATAAAAATAACTCCCGTGAGTAGCCACCTTGCTTTCTCTTCCACACAGATGTGATTGTTCTTGGGGGCCTCAATGTCCTGGAACTCTGGGAAAGCAGGGCACTGTGACAGGGAAACCTGAGTCCTGGGATCTGGGAGGCTAAGGAGAACCAGGGTGAGGGGTTAGTTTCTGGGACTGAGCTAGTAGAAGTCCTGTGCTGAAAAGGCTGCTGAAATTCCTGCTGCTTTTTCATGTCAGGATTCTCTCTCTCTCTCTCTCTCTCTCTCTCTCTCTCTCTCTCCCTCCCTCCCTCCCTCTCCCTCCCTCCCTCTCTCTCCCTTTCTTCCTTCTTTCCTTCATTTATTTATTTATTTTTATTTTACATGTATGAGTGTTATGCCTGAATGTGTGTTAGTGCACCCATATCATGCAGTGCCCGTGGAGGACAGAAGAGGGCATTGGATCCCCTGGAACTGGAGTTATGGAAGATTGTTAGCTGCCATGTGGGTGCTGGGATTTGAACCAGGGTCTTCTGCAAGAACAGCCAGTGCCCTTAACAGCTGAGCTGTCTCTCCAGTTCCAGGATTCTTTTTTTTTATTTATTTATTTTTATTTTATGTGTATGAGGGTTTTGTTTGTTTGTTTGTTTGTTTGGTTGGTTGGTTGGTTGGTTGGTTTTTGAGACAGGGTCTCTCTGTAGCCCCAGCTGGCCTGGAACTTGGTATATTAGACCAGGTTGGCCTTGATCTCACAAAAATCCATCTGAGTGCTGAGATTAAAGGCATGCGCTACCATGCCCAGTTTGTGTATATGTGTTGCATGCATGTATGTAAGTGCAACTGTGCCACGCAGTGCCCATGAATACCAGAAGAGGGCATTGGATTCCCTGGAACTGGAGTTACAGATGGTTGTTAGCTGCCGTGTGGGTCTGGGAACTGAACCCAGGTCCTCTGCAAGAGCAGCCAGTGCTCTTAACTGCTGAACCATCTCTCCAACCCCTTCATGTTAAGTTTCTTGGCCTTCAGTGTTTTGACTTAGATTACTGACTTGACCATGAGGAGGAAGATGTTGGTTTCTGGGGTTGGACATTGGCTCAGCTGGAGAGCACTTGCCTAACATGCATGAAGCCTGGGGTTCCATCCCCAGCATCTCAGAGAAGAATAGAAAAATGGAGTGGAATGGGCTAGAATAGAGAAAAACAGAAGGGAATAAAATAGAAAAATTAGCAGAAAATAATAGATTACTTTTCCAGTTGCTGTGACAGAGGCAGAGGGAGAGACATGCAAATCTCTATGAGGCCAACCAGGGCCACACAATGATACCTTGTTTCAAAAACAAAAACAACAAAATCAAAACAAGGGGAGGAGCTGGCTCAGCAGTTAAGAGCTCTGGATGCTCTTGCAGAGGACCTGGTTTTGGTTCCCAGCATCCACATGGTGGTGAACAACTGTCCATAACTCTAGTTCCAGGGGGATCTGATGCCCTCTTCTGGCCTCCATGGGAATTGCATGACATGGTACACTACATACATACAGACAAAACATTTATACACATAAAATAAAAATAAATAGAAACAAAAAAATTTTTTTAAAGAAAGGGGAATTCACTGAAAGGGGTTCTTAGTCATTAAGTTCTTTTCCCTTCTGTGGCTCCTTGACATGTTTTTGGAGAAAATTACTTCCTTTTCCTGTTCCTCCAAGCTACCTATTCCTAGGAAATCTGCTGACAGCAGTAGGCATTCCACAGTGATGGAGAAATTTGTTTTGGAATTTTGTTAGTTTCTTCTCTCATTACTGTGACAAAAGACCTGACAGAAGTAACATAAGGGAGGAAGGGTTTACTGTGGCTCACAGTTTAAGGGCACAGACCATCATGGTGGGAAGGCATGGCGGCAGGAGCATGAGGCAGCTGCTCACATGGCATCCACAGTCAGGAAGCAGAGAGAGATGAATGCTGGTGCTCAGCTCACTTTCTCCTTTTTAAAAAAATTCATATTTATTTATTTTGAGGGTGCGGGGCAATAACACAATGTGTATGTGGAAGTCAGAGGACAATTGAGGGAATCAGTTCTCTTCTCCTTCCACTGTGTCCATTGTGGGACTCGAACTCAGGTTGTCAGGTTTGGTAACAAGCGTCTTTACCCACTGAGCCCTCTCAAAAACCTCATTTTCTCCCTCTGATGCAGCCCATGGGGATGATACTCCCCACATTCAGAGTGGGTACTTCACACCTCAGTTAAACCCGTATGGAAAAATCCTCATGGACACCCAGAGGTGTATCTCCATGATATTTCTAAATCTCTTCAAGTTAATGGTAGAGATTAGTCGTCCCAGGAATTGTCCAGCCTCGATCTGCAGTGTGAAATAGTCTCTTCTTTTTACCGATGACTGATAATAGACTGTACATGATCCCAATCTGTAACATTTTAAAATTTTATTTTCAGTCTTTATTATTAACATAGGGGGGTAGTGAGTACCACAGCTGCATACATGTGGAGGTCAGAGGATGACTTTGTGGAGTCTGTACTCTCCTTCTACCTTTATGGGTATCCTAGGAATCGAACTCAGGTCTTGAATGCTTTTACCCACTGAGTCATCTCGCCAGCCTTTTAAACATCATAATTGATAGATCATGGAGGCCAGCCTCCTAGCAGCTTGTACCTTCAGGGGGTAGGGGTGCTGGGGAGCCTATCCCTTCCTGGGTCTGGTAACAACATGCTGGACCTGAGACCCTTCTGACCCCCAGGTTGAAAGATCTGTTCCACCGCTCCAGTAATCTGCAGTACTTTAAGCGGCTCATTCAGATTCCCCAACTGCCTGAGGTAAGTGTGACCACCATGCCCTGGGCTCTGTGGGGCTTTAAGGCCTGGCAGGTGAGCAGCTGTTGAGAGTGTGTCCTGTTTCTACAGAACCCACCCAACTTCCTACGAGCCTCAGCCCTGTCAGAGCACATTAGCCCCGTGGTGGTGATCCCCACTGAGACGTCGTCCCCAGACAGCGAACCAGTCCTGGAAAAAGATGACCTCATGAATATGGATGCCACCCAGCAGGTACAGACCCCTTAGGAGAGGAATGTGGCCCTTTGATTGTCCCCAAGTACAGACAAAGGCATGGGAGAAGTCCCCAGCTCTGGTGCATCCTCTCAGACCAGGCTTGAATGTTTTGAGATGGGGTCTCAGTGTTCCCCATGCTGGATTCAAAACTGGGCTGGTGCAATCCTCCAGCCTCTGCCTCTGCATCTGAGATGACTGGAATCATATGTGCATGCAGCACCCTGCTCTGTAGATCCTGGAGGGAGCACAGATGGATCTCAATCAACTCAAGAAAGATTCTTGAAACAGAGCATGGTAGCACAGACCTGTCAACCCAGCATTTAGGAGGTAGGAGGCAGGAGGCTCAGTTGTTCCAAGCTCAGTTTCAGCCACATGGTGAGACCTGCCTCCAAAACACAAACAACTGCTAGGCATGGTGGCACCCACCTTTAATCTCAGCACTCAGGAGGCAGAGACAGGTGAATCTCTGTGAATTTGAGGCCAGCCTGGTCTATGTGGTAAGTTCCAGGCCAGACAGGGTTACATAGTGAAACCCTGTCTGAAAAAAAAGAAAAGGAAAGAAGAGAAAGAGCTTGATATGGTGGCTCACATCCTTACCCCAGCATTCAGAAGGCAGAGGTAGACAGATCTCTGTGAGATTGAGGCCAGCCTGGTCTTACATAGCCAGTTCCAGGCCAGCTAGATCAGGGAGACCCTGTGTCAAAAAGACTCTGGTAGGAAATGCTGAAGAGGCAGAAGCAGGATCATGAGTCTAACCTGGGCTACACTTTAGCCAGGTATGGTGGTGCATGCCTTTAATTACAGCACTGGGGAGGCAGAGGCGAGTAGATCTCTGTGAGTTTGAGGCCAGCCTGGTCTACATAGCCAGTTCCAGGCCAGGCAGACCTGCATAGTGAGACCCTGTCTCAAAAGAAAAAAAGGAGAGAGAGTAAGGAGGGAGGATTCTTGCACGCCATTCATTTGACCCCTACAGGGAGTTTTCTAAGTCTCTGATGTGTTTTCCCCCCACCCACCATCCTACCCCCCACCCCACTGATCACTGCAGAATTTATTTGACAACAAGTTTGATGACATCTTCGGCAGCTCCTTGAGCAGCGATCCCTTCAATTTCAACAACCAAAACGGTGTGAACAAGAATGAAAAGTGAGTTCAGCTGGGTTGAAGCACATAGTCCAGACGCTGAATGAAGCCTCAGCCTGCCTTCTGCATTTACCCCAGAGAAGTTGTTTTGTTTTCTTTTGGTTGTGTACACACACACACACACACACACACACACACACACAAACACACACACACACACAATGACATGTGGGAGGAAGTCAGAGGTCAACTTGCAGGAATCAGTTCTCTTTTTACACCATATGGGTTCTGGGACTAAATCTGGTCATCAGGCTTAGCAGCAAGCCCCTTTGCCTGCTGAGGCATCTCACCAGCCTCTGGTTTTCCGTACTGTTTAGGCGGTAATGACAAGAACAAATGTCTTTGCGTGGTCAGTACACATGCATTTTATCACCCAAAATGTTTTCTATCTCCAGTACTTGAATCCATGAATATGGAACCTGGAGGTGTGAAAAGTTAACCCTGGGGCTAGAGATGTGGCCCAGTTGGTGGAGTGCTTGCCTAGCATGAAGGACACCCAAGGTTCCATTGCCTGCACCACATAAAGCAAATGTTAGCTTAGGCAGGTAACCCCAGCAGTCTAGAGGCACAGGCAGGAAGACTCAAGTTCAAGTTCATCCTCTGCTACATGTTGAGTTCAAGGCCAGCCTTGTCTATATGAGACTCTGCAAAAGGACAGAGGAAGGAAGGGAGGTAGGGAGGGAGGGAGGGAGGGAGGAAGGAAGGAAGGAAGGAAGGAAGGAAGGAAGGGTCTGTAGGGGGAGGGAGGAAGGAAGGGAGGGGAGGGAGGAAGAGAAAATGGAGGAAGAATCATCCCCCAATGAATATCTATTAACAAAACAATTAGAAAAAAAATAAAAAAGAATTGCCCAAGGGGCTGGAGATATGGCTCAGAGGTTAAGAGCACTGGCTGCTTTTGCAGAGGACCCAGGTTCAGGTCCCAGCACCCACATAGCAGCTAACAACGGTCTGTAACTCCAGTTCCAGGGGATCTTCTGCCCTCTTCTGGCCTCTTTGGGAGTTGCATGACACAAGTGCACTTACATATATGCAGATAAAACATACACATAAAAGAAAAGTAATTTTTAAAAAGAAAAAGAATTGCCCAAGTTAACACCAGCTTTTTCCTCCCTTCCTAATCTCTCAGCTTACATGGGGGAGAGGAACAAGATATGGTAGCAGCAAACCTGTTCTCTCCCCAGGGACCACTTGATTGAGCGCCTGTACAGAGAGATCAGTGGACTAACAGGACAGCTGGACAACATGAAGATTGAGGTACGTTCTAGAATCCATCTGTGCTTGGGTGCCGCCAACTTGTGGCAGGTATTAATAGTCATGTCTCCCTGTCCTGATCGGATACCACATCCTTAGGCAGGTTAATTAATAGACATGCCTAAATCAGTGAACTTGGTCACTTTAAAGTCTCCATTAGAATATATTTCCATAGCACATGGCTTTAGTACAGCAGTTAACCCCAAAACCAGTGTCCCTGTGAGACTCAGAGAGTATGGTTACCATTTGGCCCATATACAATAATGAGAAAGACCAGTTCTTTTCACACAGTCCTTGAGAAAATTTGGTTTAGAAGCTGGGGCATGATTCAAGTGGTAGAACCCCTGCCTAGAATCCCCCAGTGAGGGGCTGGGGTGTGGCTCAGTGGTAGAGCACCTGCCTAGAATCCCCCAGTGAGGGGCCTGAGGGTGTGGTTCAGGGTAGAGCACCTGCCTAGAATCCCCCAGTGATGGGCTGGGGGTATGGCTCAATGGTAGAGCACTTGCCTGGAATCTCCCAGTATGGGGTTAGGGGTATGGCTTAGCTGTACAACCACTGGCCTAGCATGAGCAAGGCCCAGGGTTCCCTACCCAGGGTACTAAAACAAGAAGAAAAAGAAAATCTGTACATTTCAGTACAGAGAATTTTTTTTCTATTGTTGGTTGGATCTATGAGTTGAGAAACAACTTGGTACATCCTTCCTGTCCTACCTGGTGCCTCCATGGGGCAGCCGCATGGTGGCAGGCTTCTCACCCCAGGTCCCCCTCACAGAGCCAGCGGGCTGTGCTGCAGCTGAAGGGCCGTGTGAGTGAGCTGGAGGCAGAGCTGGCAGAGCAGCAGCACCTGGGGCGACAGGCCACAGATGATTGCGAGTTCCTACGCACGGAGCTGGATGAGTTGAAGAGGCAGCGAGAAGACACAGAGAAAGCACAGAGGAGCCTGACCGAGATAGAAAGTGAGGGGACCTGGGCCTGGGTCTGAAGGTACCGGGTGGAGCACAGGGTCTATGCAGCCTCAGGAATAAAGGCATGTCACTTCTTGTACTCCCAGAAGTGCAGCAGGAGATGCCAGCTCTTGTCCTTGGGTACAGGGACAGGTTTAGTGGCAGAGTTTGGTCCAGGACACCAGGGACACAGTGAGTGATGATGGAGCTACCATACTGGGTGAGGGAACTTCCCTAGGAGAGGAAGCAGGACAGATACCTAAGGGGGGAGAAAACAGCTAAAAGCTAAAAACCCCAATAACATGAATATTCTGTTAATAAATGTTAGGGACAGGGCAAGAGTGGTGACTCACTGGTTAAGAGCACTTACTGCTCTTGCAGTGGACCAGAATTTGGTTCCTAGCACCCATGTTGTTCACGACCGCCTGTAACTTCAGCCCAAGGGCATTTGCCCTCTGCCAGCATTTTGCACCCATGTGGTAAAACTCACACAGACATACACATACACATAAATAAAAATAAATACTTTAAAGTTTTTTTTTATTTACTTTTATTTTATGTTCATGAGTGTTTTGCTTGCATGTATGTAAGCACACCATGTGTGTGCAATGCCCACAGAGACCAGAAGAAGACATCAGATGCCCTGGAACTGGTGTTAAGGACAGTTGTGAGCCATCACAAGGGTGCTGGGAAGCAAATCAGGTCCTCTGCAAGCCAGTGCTCTTAACTGCTGAGCATCTTTCTAGCCCCAAATAAATACATTTTAAAATAAAGAACAAGTGCTAGGGAGGCATCAGTCAGTACAGAAATTTGAATCCAGTGAACTTTTGTTTAAAAAGACAATGCTAATACCAGATGTAGTAGAATATACCTATAATTCTAGCACTAGGGAGGTAAAGGTAGGATCATAGGTTTAATCTGCATAGTGAGACCAAAAAACCAAAATTAATTAATTAGAAAATAACTTATAGCTGGATGTGGTGGTGCACACCTGTCATCCCAGCGTTCGGGAAGCAGAAACAGGAGGATCCCAAGTTAGAGGCAGACTGGACTATATAGAGAGAGATCTTGTCTCAAAAACTTAAACAGCTGCTCAAGGAAGGTATGGTGGTACATACCCGTCATCCCAGAACTCAGGAGGTGGAAGCAGGAAGATCAGAAGTTCGAGGTCATCTTTGGAGATAGCTAGTTTGAGGCCAATCTGGGGCACATGAGACCATGTCTTTAAAAAGAAAAATAAGGAGTTGGAGTGATGGCTCAGCAGTTAAGAGCACTGGCTGCTTTTGCAGAGGACCTGAGTTAGGGTCCCAATACCCACATGGCAGGTAACAACCATCCCTAACTCCAATTTCGGAGGACCCAACACTCTCTTCTGGTTTCTGCAGGCACTGTATGCATGTGGTGTACTTATATACATGCAGGCAAAACACTCATACATATAAAATAAAAACAAATAAAAAATTTTTTGAGAAGAACACAGGGAATGGAAAAATGACTCAGCAGTTAGGGGCATGTACTGCTCTGGCAAAAGACCACATCTCGCCAGGTGTGGTGGTGCACATCTTTAATTCCAGCACTTGGGAGGCAGAGGCAAGTGGATCTCTGTGAGTTCGAGACCAGCCTGGTCTACATAGTGAGTTCCAGGCCAGCTGGGGCTACAGGGGGACCCTGTCTCAAAAAGACCAAAAGGAAAAAGAAAAATATTTAGATAAAAAAAAAGCATCTTTCAGGTCCCTAGCATACTGGAAGGAAGGTAAAGGCGTTCCAGTCAGGGAAGTCACTTCTCACCTCAGTCCTTCATAATACAGGGAAGGCCCAGGCCAACGAACAGCGGTATAGCAAGCTAAAAGAGAAATACAGTGAGCTGGTTCAGAACCACGCTGACCTGCTGCGGAAGGTAAGACCCTTGACCCTCTGAACACCCCACATACCCCACATTACATGAGAAACAGTGCAGACCTCAGGTTCTCCAAGTCCTGCACATCGATTTCTGGGTAACCCCAACTTTTCAAGTCTTCTTGAGTTCTCTCTTGGATGCCAGCCCCACTTAGAATTACCCCTCATCTGAGTTGGGCGTGATGGCACACACCTGTAATCCCAGCATTCAGGAGGTAGAGGCAGGAGAAGAGTTTGAGGCTAGCCTGGGCTACATAGCAAGAACTTGTCTCAAAAAATAAATAGATAACCAGGCATGGTGGTGCATGCCAACACTTGGGAAGAAGGTAGATATTAGCGAGTTCAAGGCCAACCTGGTCTACATGGTGAGACTGGTCTCAAAAAAATTAAATAAATGTAGGCTGGAGAGATGGCTCAGTGGTTAAGAGCACTGGCTGCTCTTACAGAGGACCGGGGTTTGATTCCCAGCACCCACATCGTGGGTAACAACTGTCCATAATTCCAGTTCCAGGGGATCTGATGCTCTTATCTGGCTTCTGTGGCCATTGCACAACACGGGTACACTTACATACATGCAGGCAGAGAACACTCATAACACATAAGATTAAAATAATAATAAAATACTTATTTTAAATAAATAAAGTATTTTAAAAAATACAGCACCAAACAAGTCCCATCCTCCCACTCCCAATCTGTGTTATTTTTGGTAATACCTGAAAGTCTAACATCTGAAGGTCATGGCTTGATTCTGGCTTTCTTCTAGGTAGGAAAAGACTCCTGTGTCTGCCTTTCTGGCACTCACAGTCTGATGAGGTTCATGATTTGAGCCAAGAGCACCAAGTCAAGACCCTCTTCATGGGCTGCAGGGCTGACTCAGTAGTTAAGAGGGCATACTACACTTGTAAAGGACTCAAATTAAGTTCCCAGCACCCCCATCAGGTGGCTCACAACCACCTGTAACTCCAGCTCCAAGGGATCAAATGCCTCTGGCCTCCTCTGGCACCTGGACTCATGTGCACATATGCACACACATATACATATACATAATTAGGAATAATAAAAATAGGGGCCGTAGAGACAGCTCAGCAGTTAAGAACACTGGCTGCTCTTGCAAAGGACCCAGGTTCAATTCCCAGCGCTTACATCTATAACTCTAGTTCCAGGTGATCTGATGCCCTCTTCTGGCCTCCATGGACATTGCACACATTGGTGCACATACATACATGCATACAAAACACACACATTAAAAAAAAAATCCAAAAAAGATTTTTTAAGAATAATAAAAATAAATCTTTTTTAAAAAGACAGTCTTTCCCTTACAGAATGCAGAGGTGACCAAGCAGGTGTCCATGGCCAGGCAAGCACAGGTAGATTTGGAAAGAGAAAAAAAAGATCTGGAAGATTCTTTTGCTCGTGTAAGTGACCAAGCCCAGCGGAAGGTAAGAAGGAGATTCGCTCGGAAGATGGGGAAGGGGAGCTCTCTAGTGGACATGGGCTTTTTAAAATTATGTTTTATTCATTATCTGGTGGCAAGGTACTTGACTGTGGAGATCAGAAAACGGTTTTCAGGAGACAATTCTCTCCTTCTATCATGTGGGTCCCAGGGATTGAACTCAGATCATCAAGCTTGGCAGTAAGCACCTCCAGCTACTAAGCCATCTTGCAAATCAAAGGACTTTATCATATGCTCCATAGGTGATTCCTGGAGTAACTTTGGAAGCTATACAGAAGAGGAGGATGCTGGGGGCTGGGCATGTCATTCTGTTGGTAGAGTGCTCACCTACTATCTAGAAAGCCCTGGGTTCCAGTTCTAGTACCACATAAGCCAGGCATGGTAGTACATGTCTATAATCCTAGTACTAGGGAGGTGGAGGTAGGAGGAGCAGAAGTTTAGGGTCATCCTTGGCTACATAATGAGTTCAAGGCCAGCCTGGGCTACATGAGACCCTATCTCAAAAAATAAATATATGGGAGTTGGAGAGATGGCCAGAAGTAAGAGTGCATGCTGTTCTTCCAGAGGACCTGTCAGTTCCCAGCACCCATATCAAGTAGTTCACAACCACCTGTAACTCCAGCTCCAGGGAATCCAAGGGCCTCTTCTGACCTTCTTGAGCACTCCCACACATGGCATATAGTGACAAAGATACACACACTTACACATAAATAAAAATGAAATAGCCTTTAAAAATTTTTTTTAATTTTTATTTGTATTTTATGTGTATTAGTATTTTACCTACATGTATGTAAGTGCATTCATGCATGCAATACCTACAGAGGCCAGAAGAGGGCGTCAGATCCCCTGGAACTGGAGTTACAGATGGATATTAGCTGCCATGTGGGTGCTGGGAATCGAGTCCAGGTCCTCTGCAAGAGTAGCCAGAGTTTGCTGAGCTATCTCTTCAGCCCCCAAAATAAAATATATCTTTATATAGTTAGTTATTAGTTTTGAATTCCTACTAATGAATAGCAACCTAGTCTTTGAAAATTATTACTGATATCCAGATGTGGTGGCACACGCCTTTAATCCCAGCAGAAGCAGGCAGACCTCTGTAAGTTCAGGCCAGCCTGGCCTACATAGCGAGTTCCAGGACGGCTGGGGGATATAGGGAGACCCTGTCTCAAAAAGACCAAAATGAAAAGAACAAAGAAAAGAAAGAAGGGAGGGAGGGAGGGAGGGAAGGACGAAAATTATTACTGAGAGAAAAAGTGTTTTGGAGGGAGGGAGGGAGGGAGATGGAAGGAAGGAAGGAAGGAAGGAAGGAAGGAAGGAAGGAAGGAAGGAAGGAAGGAAGGAAGGAAGGAATTATTACTGAGGGAAAATATGTCTTTGGTACACATGGATATCACCTCCTCCTCCCTGCCCCTATTACGCACATACTTGTAACAGACCCAATAGAAGTGCACAGTCTCTATTAATATCTTGGGGAGCATATGCATGTGCATAGTCCTTCTAATAACTCCCCAGCTCCAAGCCCTCCTGTTTTGCCTTTCTCTCAGACACAAGAACAACAGGAAGTCTTAGAGACCTTGAAGCATGAACTGGCCACCAGCAGACAGGAGCTGCAGGTCCTCCACAGCAGCCTGGAAACCTCTGCCCAGGTGAGCCACTCCCTGCGCCCCTCTCTGATTTCTCTCATGACCAGGCCAGCCCCAGCTCTGACCCAATGAGAGACATGTGAAAGAGACATCACCTTCTGCCCCCTGGAGGTGGGTTTGATGCTCTGGGAAGAGGACAGTTTCATTTCCCCAGCGTCTCTGTATTCCTACATGGTCAACACTGCAGTCAGAAGCAAAGTGGGTGACTCAGATTGCCGAACTGGAAAAGGAACGGGGCAGCTTGGAGAGTGCTGCAGCTCAGCGAGAGGAAGAGCTATCCACCCTTCGAGAGCAGCTAGAAAGTGCCCAGATCAAACTGGCCAATGCCCAGGCAAGTAATCAGAGCCAGTGAGAGATTGACAAACCTTGGGTGTGTTCTTAGTTTCCTTTCTGTTGCTGTGACAAATACCATGACCAAAAACACCTTGGGGGTGGGGAAGGTTTGTTTTATCTTACATTTCCAGGTCATAGTCTATCATTAGTGGAAGTCAGAGCAGGAACCTGGAGCAGAAATCAGAGAGCGCCGCTTGCTGGCTTCACTCTCTGACTCACTCAGGCTCAGGCTTAGCTAGCTTCCTTCTATAGCCGAGGACCAACTACGTAGGGATATGCCACCCAAAGTGGTCTGGGCCCTTCTGTATCCATTAATAATCAAGATGAGGAGACTGGAGAGATGGCTCAGTGGTTAAGAGCACTGGCTGCTGTTGCAGAGGACCTGAGTTCAGTTCCTGGCACCCACATGTGATACCAACTAACCACAGTGGGTAACTCTAGTTCCAGGGGATCCATCGCCCTCTTCTTGCTTCTGTGGGCATTGCACAGGTATACTTATATGCAGGCAAAACACTCATACACATAAAGTAAAAATAACTAAACCAAAAAAATAAACAAGTAAAATAATAATAATCAAGACAGCCAGGCTTGATAGCATACATCTTTAATCCCAGCACTCAGGAGGCAGAGGCAGGCGGATTTCTGTGAGATGAAGGCCACCCTGGTCTACAGGCCAGCAGGGGCTACAGGGATACCCTGTCTCAAAAATAAAAGCAAAACAAAACAAAACAAAAAAATAACCCAAGAAGACAAGCTTAGCAATGGCAGGAAGCAATTTGAATTTGACTTCCACCTTAGGAGTGAAGATGGGCCACTGGCCCATCCCATAGCTTCCTCTGGTCGGTTCTGCACATTAGTGGACCAAGCTCAGAAACTGTTTTCTGCATGGAGCTAGCCAGCTTGGATCACATTGGTGCTAACATGAGCCAAGAGACCGGGAAGCCCAGTGTATTCCCAGTTGGGTGCTGCTTGCAGTTCATTACATAAGGGTGGCCAACTCTTACCTTCCCCACTATTTCTAGGAATCTATGTGCCAGCACACAAAAGACCAGAGGAAAAGGCTCCTGGCAGGGTCTAGGGAGGCTGCAGAGCAGGAGGTACAGGAGGCGCTGAGCCAGCTTGACGAGCCTGCCCTCATCAGCTGTGCAGGATCCACAGGTACTCTTCCCTGTGCCCCACTGCTGGTGCCAGAGTTTGCTGCCTGGTGCTACCTGTTGGCTTTGAAGCCCATGGCAAATATAACTCAAGGGTTCTCTGCCTAGCTGCATGCTAGGATATACCCAGTGTCCATCCTAGGTCAGTTAGATCAGAGGCTCTGTGACATAGGGCCTAGGAAATCCTGTCTTCTAAAGCCTTCTAAAGGCCTAATACCTATGACTTTAGACAGTGTATTAGTTACATCATGTCGCTCTGACCACAATACCTGACAGTAACAACTTAAAGGAAAAAAGAGTTATTTTGGCTCACAGTATCAGAGGGTTTCAGTCAACACTGAAGAGAAATGATGGGGCAGCTCAATTCATGGCTATGATAATTTGTGTAGATGTTGTTCACATCATCACAGACCTGGAAGCAGAGAGCAAAACAGGAAATAGGCAAGGATAACATCCTCCCAAAACCTGCCTTCCTGGAACCTGCTTCCTCCATATAGACCCCCACCTCCCCACATTTCTATAGCCTCCCTAAATAACACCAATTGCTAGGAAACTAAGCATCCAGAATATGAATGTGCACTCAAGAGGTAGAGGCAGGTGGGTCTCTGTGAGTTCAAGGCCAACTTGGTCTATACAGTGAATTATAGGCCGGCCAGGGCTACATAGTGAGTCATGAACTTATAAGGGGCACTCAGATTCAAAATTTATGAGTTGAACTGTGAGCAGAACTCTGAAACAATAATGAAGGTAAAAGGATTCTGGAGGGCTAGAGATGTAGCTCAGTTGGTAGAGTGCTTACCTAGTATGCATGACGCCCTGGGTTTCATCCCCAGCACCACAGATAACCTTAGTGGTGGTGGTGCATACTTATAATCCCAGCACATAGGAGGATGAGGAGGTAGGAAATCCAAGGCTACCCTTGGCTATATAGCAAGTTCCAGGTAGCCTGAGTTACATGAGACTCTACCTTTGAAAAAAGACATAAAGCCAATCATAAGAGAGTCAACATAGCCAATAGCCTGCTCTCCCTTTCTCCAGCTTAAGCAAAAGCCTCTGGGGCCAAGTCTCCTCAGGGGCTCAGCCCATCCATCTAGCTGCTTACTTAGAGCAAGCCAGGAGAACTCTTCCTCTGACCTTGTCTTCCCTCTCACAGATCACCTTCTCTCCAAGGTCAAGTCTGTTTCTAGCTGCCTCGAACAACTGGAAAAGAGCCGAAGCCAATATCTGGCCTGCCCAGAAGGTAAAGCGATGCAAGGGACATGGGCTGGGTCCCTAGGACCAACTGGGCTGGGCTCAGAAATGCTCAAATGGGAGCTGGAGAGATGGCATAGTGTTTAAGAGCACTTGTTGCTCTTTGCAGGGGACCTGAGTTGAGTTTCCACCACCCAGGTCAGTGGCTCACAGCCACCTGTAACTCCAGCTCCAGTGGATCTGATGCCCTCCTCTGCGGGTCCTGCACATGCGTGCACGCGCGCGCACGCACGCACGCACACACACACACACACACACACACACACACACACAAAATGCTTTTTTAAAAAATGCTCAGTGTCCAGTGTGGTGACGCATGGCTATAATCTTAGCACCTGAGGGACTGAGGCATGATGATCTCAAGTTCTAGGCCTGTCTAGAATACCTAGTGTAACTCAGTCTTTCAAAACAAAAACACTCAGGGCTGGAGATGTAGCTGGGTTGGAAGTCTCCTTGCCTAGGAGGCAGGAGGCCCTAGGTTCAATACTCAGCACCCCATAAACAGGGAGTGGCAGTGTACATCTGTAATCCCAGCTCTCAGGAGGTGGAGGCAAGAAGATCTTAAGTTCAGGGTCATCTTCAGCTACATCAAGAGTTCAGTGGCAGTCTGGGCTACATGAGACCCTATCTCTCTTTATTTTGTTTTTATGTATGTATGAGTGTTTTACCTGCATGTATGTTTGTGTACCACATGTGTGCAGTGTCTGTAGAGGTCAGAAGAGGGCATCAGATCCCCTGGAACTGGAGTTAATGGGCATTTGTTATCTACCAAACCCAGGTCCTCTGCAAGAGCAGCCCATGAGACCCTATCTCAATTACAACAACCAAAAAAAATGGTTAAATGTAGGAATAGTGGACAGATTCCTGTGCCCCAAGGAAGACATGTATATATATAACTCAATATGAAAGAAGAGGGTCACGGACTGGAGAGGTGACTCAGGGGTTAAGAGCACTGACTACTCTTTCAGAGGACCTTGGTTCAGTTCCCAGTACCCACAAGGCAGCTAACAACACTCTGTAACTCCAGTGACAGGGGATCTGTCGCCTTCTTCTGGCCTCTGTGGGCATTGCATGCATACAGTGCACTTACATACAGGCAAAACACTCATACACATAAAATAAAAATAAATCAGAGGGGGGAGGAGGAAGGGAGGGAGAGAGAGACAGAGGGAGAAAGAGAGAAAAAGAAGGAAGGAAAGAACAAAGGGAGTCAGAAAGGGCACCCTGAGGGCTGGAGAGAAGACTCAGAGGTTTAGAGTGCTTGCTGCTCTTCCAGAGGACCAGAGTTCAGTTCCCAGCACCCACAGCTGGTGGCTCACAACCATCTGCAACTCCTGCTCCAGGAGATCTGATGCCCTCTTCTGGTCTCCAAGGGTGCTACATTATGTGCACAGATAAACATACACAAAAATAAAATAAATCTTTTTAAAAAAAAAAAGTGATATCTTCCACCAGGCCTGCGACTTTCATTCTCTGCAGACATCAGTGGGCTTCTGCACTCTATCACCCTGCTTGGTCACCTAACCAGTGACACCATCCTTCAGGGAAGCACCACCAGCCTCCGAGCCCCACCAGATCCTGCCGACTGTGAGTACCAAGATCCAGGGCCCCACTGAAAGGGAGGGAAGCTATGGGCACTTAAACATCTGTCTCCTCTGTCTCCAGCCCTAAATGAGGCCTGTAAGCAGTGTGGCAGGACAACTCTGGCCTATCTGTCCTCCTTGGAGGAAGAGGGAGCCTTGGAGAAAGCTGACAGTACAGCCATAAGGGAGTGCCTCAGCAAGATCAAGGCCATTGGCGAGGTATTTTTACTGATACACTTGAAGATATTGGTCTGTTGTTTTGTTGTCTGAGACACGTCTCACATAGCACCATTGTCCTCAGACTTATGGAATGAGCAGTTCCCCAGGTATTGTTACCTGGTTAGCAGATAACACCTAAAATGGATACAGACAGTGTTTTGAGAATTCCTCCCCCGCAGAGCCATAAACAGTGCCTATCCCCTCCTCCTCCTAAGGTTTGAATGACAACCCAAAGTTTGATCCCACCACAGTTCCCCCTGGGGAACCAGTGAGTGCATTGGGCTTGCTTATAGCGCATGATGAAGAGTCACTGACAGAGTGTAGGGAACCCCAAAGCAGTCACGGGGAAGGTATTCACCCACATGGAGGATGGCTTCCCCTGACTGCATAGATGGAGCCCCCTTAGTTACCTTCTGCAGAGTATATACTCTAGCACCTCCTGAGACCCCAAAGCCACGTGTAATTCGGGCAGAATTGCTTATGAGTGGCTGAGCAAAGCAATCACTGACCCTCCCCAGCCCCTTCTATGTGAAAAAATCAGCAGTCAGCAAGCCCAATTGTGATGGACTCTCAAAAGATAGCAGCAGTTTGGTTCAGGATAGCACCTTTCAGCACAGAGTAAATTCATTCATTCTGTGACAGTGTGTGCGTGCCTGCTATATGAGAAATTACTTTAGACAGGGCTAGGGAAATGGCTGTCAGTAAAGTGCTTGCCTTGAAACCTTGAAGACCTGAATTCAACCCCCAGAACCTATGAAAAAAAAAAAAGCTGGGGGTTCTGGAGAGATGGTTCAGCAGTTAAGAGCACTGACTGCTCTTCCAGAAGACACAGGCTTGGTTCCCAGCACCCACATGGTGGCTCACAACCATCCATAATGCCAGTTCCAGGGGATCCAACAAAACAAAACAACAAAAAACAAACCATGAACTCAATGAGAAAGAAAAATAGGAGCAATTATTTCTGCACAGTGTGACAGAGCTGCCCTATAGATCTATTTTAAGAGTTTGGTGGCTGAGCAGGTTAGTAAATGTCTGTAATCCCAGCACTCAGGAGTCTGAGGCAGGAGAACCAGGCGTTCAAGGCCAGTCTGGGCTACATAAAGAGTGTGAGGCTAACCTGGGCTATATGAGATCCTGCTTCCAAAAAACAAATCAAGAGCCAGGCATGGTGGCACACACTTTTTAATCCCAGCACTCAGGAGATAGAGGCAGGTGGATCTCTGTGAGTTTGAGGCTTGCCTCATCTATATAGTGAATTCCAGGCCAGCTGTAGCCACAGGGACACCCTATCTCAAAAATCAATAAATAAACAAGTAAAATAATAAATTCAACAAGTATTTAAGCTATGCATGTCTGTGCATGCCCATTGCTGTCTCAAAACAAAAATCCTTCCATTAGTAAATATATTTGATACCTGAAAATATAGGATTAGGGCCTGGATTTGTTTCTTTTCTTGTTTCTATGACAAAATGCCTGACAAAAGCAACTTAAAGAAGGAAGGTATTTTGACTTACAGTTTGAGGACACAGTTCATCATGGTGGGAAGGCATAGCGGCAGGAGAGTGAGGCAGTTGCTCACACTGCATCCACAGTCAGGAAGCAGAGAGATGACTGTTGGTGCTCAGCAGGATGGTGCCACCACATTCAGGGTGGGTCTTCCCTCCTCAGTTAACCTAATCTAGAAACTCACTCACAGACATGCCCAGAGGTGTGTTTCCATGGTGATTTATAAATCCCATGAAGTTGACAGTCAAGGTTATCCATCATAGGGCCCCAGCACCTGCATCTGAATGGCCTTGTGGGGATGGGCACCATGGCTTCCCAGAACCATGAGGTTGTGAGTACATGGGGAGCAAGGAGGAACATGAAGCTCATGGAACGTTCCAGGTGGAGTCTATGACAGATCCCCCACATCCATGTCTTACAGAAGGTTCCCATGACAGGGTCAAGAAAAAGTAAAAAGAAGGTTTAAGTGTCCTTTTAACTTATACCGTTACCGCTCACAGGAACTGCTGCCCAGGGGCCTGGACATCAAACAAGAGGAGCTGGGTGACCTGGTAGATAAGGAGATGGCTGCCACTTCCACTGCCATCGAAGCTGCCACCACCCGCATAGAGGTAAGACAATTCTGTAGGATCAGCTGTAGCAACATTCCCCTGGCAATATCGCCCCTCAGGCAAGGCCTAGTCCCCTGTCAAACAACCCCAAATCCCCTGGTGTGATGGCACACACCTGTGATCCCAGGCCTGCTCAGGAGGTGGAGGTAGGAAGATTCAGGAGTTCAAGGTCATCCTCAGCTCCACAGTGACTTTGAGGCTAACCTGGAAATTAAAACCCAAAGTCATTGCATCTCTGAAGGGAAGAAAAATAAGATCCTGGCTGGAGGGCAGTAAATAGTTTCCTCCAGGGTCAGATATTTTTGGTGTCAGAATATCTGGAGTTCAAGCTATACACTGTCGTTAAGTGACTTATGTGAGTTATGGTCACCAGGCTAAGACTCAGATCCCATTTCTATAGGATGGCCATTATTTTAGTTTCATTTCTGTTGTGATAAAGTATGTCGACAAAAAGCAACTTGAAGAGAAAGGGTTTCTTTTAGCTTACCATTCCAGTTTACAGTCCCTCTTTGTGGGGAGTCACAGTGGGAGGAGCTTGAACCTAGTAACATGCACAGCCTAGAGCAGAGAGGTGAATGTGTGCACGCTCACCTGCTGGCTTATGCTCAGCCAGCTATCTCTACTTTTACACTAGGACCCCTGCCTAGGGAATGGTGCTGCCCACAGTGAACTATGTCCCCCCACATCAATTAACTTTTAAAGAAATTTCATTTATTTTTTATTTTATGTCTATGCATGTTTGCCTGCATATATGTAAGTGCACTTGTGTCATGCAATGCCCACAGAGACCAGAAGAGGACATCAGACCCCCCCCCCAACTAGAGTAATGGATGGTTGTCAGCTACCACTGTGGTGCTAGGGACAGAACCCAGGTCCTCTGCAAGAGCAGCCAGTATTCTTAACTGCTGAGCCATCTCTCCAGCCCCACACATTAATTATCTTTTCTTTCATCTTGTTTTTTTTTTTAGACAAGGTCTTCCTATAGTCCCAGCTGGCCTGGAACTTGATATGTAGATCAGGCTGTTCTCAATCTCAGAGATGTGTCTGCCTCTGCCTCCCAAGTCTAGGATTAAAGGTGTGTGCCACAATGCCCAATTTCAATTAATTTTTTAAATTTATTTTTATTTTATGTGTATGAATGTTTTGTCTGCATGTATGTAACTGCACCGTGTCATGTAATGCCTATGAAAGCCAGAGGAGGGCATCGGATCCCATGGAACTGGAGTTACAAATTGTTATTAGCCCCCACATGGGTGCTGGGAACCAAACCCAGGTTCTCTGTAAGAGCAACCAGTGCTCTTAATCCCAAGCCATGTCTCCAGCCCTCAATGAACTTTTAAGACCCTCCCCCACAGACATGCCCACAGGTCAGCCCAAAATGAATAACCCTTCATTGAGACACTTCCCAGGTGATTCTAGATTGTGTCAAGTTGAAAGCTAACCTTGACAAGGGGACAGAGACAGCTAGGCATCACAGCCATAACAGTAAAAAGCCAGAGGAAGCTCTAATCAATGTTAAGAAACTTCTCGGGAGAAGTCAAATGGACCCTGTTGGAAAGGTCTCATGTGGCTCCTATGGTAGAAGACTAGTCCCCTGCTATGGTGTGAGCACCTGCCCATGTTGGTCAGATACCACAGCTCTGGGTGTTCTGTACACATCAGCTTGTGTCCCAAGGTCAAGAATCTCTCTGACTAGAGCCACCAGCTCCAGCTGTCTGCTATCCAGATAGATGAGAGGTCTGGATTGTTCCTGACTCCCACAGACAGGGATGGGTCAGGGTGTGGCAAGGAAATGGTGAATGTTGAGGTTTATGGTGCATTAAGAAACCATACTTCTTGGGGTGGGGTGTGGCTCAGTGGTAAAGTACCTGCCTAGAATCCCACTATGAGGGGCTATGGGTGTGACTCAGTGGTAGAGCACCTGCCTAGCATGCAGGAAGCCTGAGCTCAATTCCCAGTAACACACGCATGCACGCACGCACATGCTCAGGCTGGAGAAATGGCTCAGCATTTAAGAGCTCAGCTGCTCTTACAGAGGACCTGGGTTCAGTTCCCAACACACATATGACAGCTAACAACTATACATCAGTTCAGTTCCATAGGCTCCAATGCCCTCTTCTGGCTTCCTCAGGCAATGCACACAAAGTATACTTATATACATGTAGGCAAAACAGTCAAACACACAATATAAAAATAATAACTTTTGGACTGGAAAGATGGCTCAGTGGATAAGCACACTGGCTGCTCTTGTAGAGAACCCAAGTTCAATTCCCAGCACCCACATGGTGGCTAACAACTGTCTGTAACTCCAGTTCCAGGGAATCCAACGCCCCTCTTCTGGCCTCCACAGGTATTTCACAACATGGATGCACTTACATATATGCAGGCAAAACACTCATACACTTTTTTTTTTTTAATTTTGAGGCTGTAGAGATGGCTCAGTGGTTAAGAGCACTGACTACTCTTGTGGAGGACCTGAGTTTGATTCCTAGCACCCACATAGCGGCTAACAACCATCTGTAACACCAGTTCCAGGGGATCCAACACACTCTACTGACCTCCAAGGGCATTGCACAACACGGGTGCACTTACATACATTCAGGCAAAACACTCCTACACATCAAATAAAAATAATAAATGAAATATTAAAAAATATTTTTTTAAAAAAAGGAAAGAATAAAGGAAACCAATTTCTTTTCTGTAGGAAATGCTCAGTAAATCCCGAGCAGGAGACACAGGCGTCAAGTTGGAGGTAAATGAAAGGTCAGTATGAGTCGAATGTGTTTGTACTAGATAAGCAAGATCTTTATAAGCCATGCTCACAGTGAAGCAAGGCTTTGCCTTGGGTCTCTCAGCAGTCTTAACCCTTCCCTGCCTCTCATTCCTTCCTCACATTTGTCTGGCTTGAGTGTGAGAAATCAAATGGTACAGTTTCTTCTTCTTGGTCTCTGGTTTCCTGACTCTTTCTCTCTAACAGGATCCTTGGCTCCTGTACCAGCCTGATGCAAGCCATCAAAGTCCTTGTTGTGACCTCCAAGGACCTCCAAAAAGAGATCGTGGAGAGTGGCAGGGTGAGCGGGGCTATGGGTGCTAAGATGGGGACAGGTGTCAGCTCTGGCTCCTGCCACACATGTGCTGAAGTCTGATTTGCTGCCAGCTCCAACTGTACATCATCACAGGCAGAGCTATGGGTCCTAGGGAAATTGACACTGTGGGCAGTTGAGGGCTCCTGGGGGCTCCCCTCTGGGGAGCAGTGAGTACCTTCCATCCCTCAGCCCCAGAGTCCATGCAGACTTGTAGAAATGTCACTGAGGTTGCATGACTGGGTCCTCTGAGAACATCTGAAGACTTTGGGAAATTAGGCAGATCCTGGAAGTAAATGTGGAACCATCATTCCCTCAGAATCTGTGACATCATCTCTCAGAATCTGTGAGAAACTGGTCCTAAAACTCCTATAGATTCTTATATTTGCAGATACTTAGCCCTTCTATAAAATGATAGAGGAGCAGTTGTTGTAGTATGCACGTGTAAGCCCAGGACTCAAGAGGCTGAGGCAGAAAGATCTAAAGTGGGACGTGAGACTCTCTCTCAAAAACACCCTTCAGACCAGGCATGGTGGCAAGTGCCTTTAGTTCCAGCACTTGGGAGGCAGGTGGATCTCAGTGAGATCAAGGCCAGCCTGTCTGTATAGTGAGTCCCAGGCAAGTCTCAAAAAGACCAAAAAAAAAAATTTAAAATACCCTTCAGGAGGCTGGGCATAGTGGTGCATACCTTTAATCGCAGTTAATCCCCACAGGCAGATCACTGTGAGTTCAAGGCCAGCCTGGTCTATATAGCTGCCTACATACAGGCCAGCTAGTGCTACAGGGAGACCCTGTCTCAAACAAACAAACAAACAAAACCTAAAATCTACCTTTCATGGGTTGGGCATATGTCTTAGTTGATAGAGTACTTGCCTAACAAGCACAAAGCCCTGGGTTCAGGCCCCAGCACTACATAAAACCAGATGTAGCTGATGCATACCTATAACTACTCCACTCCTCAGGAAGTAGAGGCAGGAGGATCAGAAGTTCAAGGTTAGGCTCCGGGTATATGACCAGATCAAGACCAACCTGAACCACAGGTTTTCTCTGTGTAGAAAAACAAACAAACAGGGCCAGGTGGAGTGGTTCAAGCCTTTAATTTCAGCACTAGGGAGGCAGAGGCAGGTGGAGATCTAGACCAGGCTGGTCTACATAGGAATTCCAGGCCAGCTATGACTATAAGGAGACCCTGTCTGAAAAAAACAAACAAAAAAGAGCCAGGCGTGGTGGCATAAATCTTTAGACCCAGCATTCAGGAGGCAGAGGCAGAGGCAGAAGCAGGCAAATTTCTGTGAGATTAAGATTAAGCCCAGCCTGGTCTACATAATGAGTTCCAGGCCAGCTGGAGCTGCAGGAAAACCCTCTCAAAAAGACAGAAAAAAAAAAAAAAAGAATTAGAGACCAGCCTGGGGTACAAAATAAACCCTGTCGTAAAAACAAACAGGCTGTTACTATTTTTGCTTCTATAGGGTACTGCATCCCCTAAAGAATTTTATGCCAAGAACTCTCGGTGGACAGAAGGGCTTATATCTGCCTCCAAGGCTGTTGGCTGGGGAGCTACTGTCATGGTGTAAGTGTCTGGGTCCAACCCGTCCCACATCCATACCCCTGGTGCATCCATCCACCCCAGATGGTTGCTAAGAGAGATTTAAGTATCTACTTCATAGCCAGGCACTGCCCTCTTATAATCCAGGTACTTCAGAGGCTGAGACAAGACCACAAATTTAAGGCCAGCCTGTGCTACATAGTCAATTCAAGGCCAACCTGGGCTACATAGTGAGACTTGTTTTTTAAATTTATGTATATGAGTGTTTTGCCTGCATGTATTTAAGTGCACTTGTGTGTGCAATGCCCATGGAAGTCAGAAGATGGTGTTAGATCCCCTGGAATTGGAGTTACAACAGTTGTTAGCCACCATGTGGGAGCTGAGAACTGAACTCAGTTCTTCTACAAGAGCAGCCAGTGCTCTTAACTGCTAACCATCTCTCTAGTCTCCAGAATGAGACATTTTGTTTTAGTGGTGTAACTCAGTAATAGAGCATTTGCTGAATGTGTGGGAGCCCCTCAGTTCAGTCCCCAGCCCTGCCAAATCTGGAAACATCCAGGCATGGTGCCACACACCTTTAGTCCCAGCACTCAGAAGGCAAAAGGCAAGGCAATCTCTGTGAAATAGAGGCCAACCTGGTCTACATAGCGAGTTTCATGCCACAAGGAGATCCTGTCCAAAAAAAAGAAAAAAAATAGAAACGCATCATTTATTTTATATATTTTTATTATGTTTATTTCATGTGTATGATCATATTGCCTGCGTGCAAGTGTACCCGTGTCATGCAATGCCTACAGAGGTCAGAAGAGGGCGTCAGATTCCCCTGGAACTGGAGTTATGGAAGGTTGTTAGCTGCCATGTGGTTTCTGGGAATCAAATCTGGGTCCTCTGCAAGAGTCAGTGCTCTTCACCACTGAGTCATCTCTCCAGCCCCATGATTGATTTTTTTTAAAGTGAATAGTGGTCTAGGAAAATGGGTCCATCAGTAAAGTTCTTGGCATACAAGCATGAAAACCTCAGTTCATTCTCTAGCTCCCATGTAAAAGCCAGATGTGGTAGTGTGCACTTGTGATTCCAAGAGGCAGAGACAGGAGGATCCCTAGAGCTCCCTGGCCAGCTATTCTAGGTTTCATTGGTGAGACCTGGGCCCCAGTGAGAGACCCTGTCTCAAAAAATAAAGTGAACTGCACCTAAAACTGGAGATGGTGGTGCATACCTTTAATCCCAGCATTCAGAGGCAGAGGTGGGTAGATCTCTGTGAGATCCTGGCCAGCCTGGTCCACAAAGGGAGTTCCAGGCCATCCTGGGGTTCCAGGAAGACCCTGTCTCAAAAGTCCAAAATAAATAAATAAACAAACAAGTGTCCAGGACTGAACCTTTGAAAGGGACCCAGGGTCTCCCAGGACAACACAGGAGCAGAGCAAGCAGGCTGTCTTCTTTGTCTAGCCAGGGACTAAGGAGTCGGTTGGAGATGGGATCATGAGGGTTTTCAGCTCTTCGTAACCTTGTCCTTTGTGTCCCCTCTGGGATGTCAGGGACGCTGCTGATCTTGTGGTCCAAGGCAAAGGGAAGTTTGAGGAGCTGATGGTGTGTTCGCATGAAATTGCTGCCAGCACAGCACAGCTTGTGGCTGCATCCAAGGTAGGACCAGCACTGGACTCCCCAGAACATTCTAAAGCCTGTTTGGGTTACAGCAGACTTGGGCCATGGAACTGAATTCAAGGACAGTAAAGACATTGCCTATCCCTGATGGGTTGAGTCCCACATAAAAAATTGGCCTTTCAAACGTCCCATAACACCCACTTTCAGTTAACGTATTAAGATTTGTTTATTTTCATTTTATATAT